CCCTTTTTTTTTTTTTTTGACAAGTAGTTGAAACGCGTTGTCTAAGATACCCATCCTACACGCGTAGTCTCTTAAGAGACACAGGCCGTCAAGATGCCTTCTTCAACCACATTCTCAAAAGACACCCTCCCCGAATACCCTGTCCAGAACCTCATGCACGGCCTCGAAGGTCTATCCCTCTACGAGAAGAAATGCGTCCTAATCAACCGCGAAATCGACCGTCAAGGCATGGGAAAATACCAATGGTACATCTGGTCCCTGTGCGGTTTTGGATACCTTCTTGATCTTCTTTGGGCTCAAGCTTTTGGTCTTGTTCTTGGACCACTGGAGCAGGAGCTGGGCTTTGGGAAAGATGAGTCGGGGAATATTTCTACCAGCTTTAATGCTGGTCTTACGGCTGGAGCTTTTGTTTGGGGATTCCTGGCGGATATTATCGGTATGTATTTGTTGAGTTGTGTGTGAATGAAGCTAATGAGTGCAGGTCGACGTTGGGCTTTTAATCTGACATGTTTGATCTCGAGTATCTTTGGACTTTGCCTTGGTGCTTCAAACAACTACAACACCTTCTTGGTCCTGACTGCTTTTGTCGGATTTGGTGTCGGTGGAAATATTCCTATTGACACGACGATTACTCTCGAGTTTATTCCTCAGGTATGACACTCCCTCTCTATTATCATTTTCCTCTAACATTTGTAGAACAAACGCTTCCTTTTGGCTTGTCTATCAGTCTTCCAACCCATTGGAGTCGTCATCTGCAGCGCCATAGCCTTCGGTTTCATCCCCGTCTACGCCTGCTCCCCCAACTTCTCAGAACCCAACCCTCTAATCTCCTGCAACAACGCCTCAGCTGGTCAAAACTGCTGTTCAAAGGGTGACAACATGGGCTGGCGATACCTCCTCTTCACAATCGGTGGAATCACTCTACTTGTCTTCATTCTCCGCTTTTTCGTCTTCAACTTTCGCGAAACACCAAAGTATCTCGTCTACCGCGGTCGAGACGAGGAAGCTATCGACACATTGCAGCACATGGCTGAAGTCAACAAGAAAGAGTGTGGTTTGACTATCGACATGTTTGAGTCTCTTACCACTGATGAGAGCTCTGTTAGTGGTGATAGTGCTACGCCTGCTCTTGGAGCGGGTAAGAAGCAGCTTAATCTCAAGTGGTCTAAGAAGGTGAAGCTGGAGATGCAGCGATACAAGATGTTGTTTTCTTCACCCACGATGACCCGTTTGACGATTCTTGTCTGGTTGACGTATATCATGGATTACTGGGGTTTCACTGTCGCTGGTAAGTCTCATCACCTTAAGCTGACTAGAAGCAATACTAACTTCTAAGGCTTCTACCTCCCAAGTATCCTCGCTCTGAAGAACGGCGCTGCATCAGTCAGTCTCAAATCAACATACGCAGCCTACATTTACACCTACGCCCCAGGCATAGTAGGAGTCCTTCTCGGAGCAACTCTCTACCGCATCCCCGCCATCGGCCGAAAATGGACAATGGTTATATCATCCGCCCTAATGGGAATATCCATCATCCTTTTCTCAACAGTCGACACCCGAGCAAAGAACGAAGGACTATTCACAATGGAATACTTCTTCCAGTCCATGTTCAACGCTGTGCTGTACGGATGGACACCTGAAGCTTTCCCTGCTCCTATTAGAGGTACGGCTTGTGGTATTGCCGGTTTCTGGGGTAGGTTGTTTGGTATTGTTAGTCCGTTGATTGCGCAGCATTTGTATGGACGGTCCAATGGGGAGAATGGGCAGGGTGATATTAATAGTGTGCTTTACCTGGCTGGTGGTGTTATGCTGGGTTGTGTTATTACTACGGCTTTGTTGCCGAATGACATGATGGAGACAAGGGACGAGAGGTCATGAGCATGGTCTGGGTATGGAAAGTATACGATTTTGATGTTTATTTCATAGAATATTGATGTTTATCTCATAGAATACACGACATAGCGTTGGAGTTCATTTCAATGAAAAGCAACAATTAACCCAAAACCCATTTATTGTCCAATGCAAATATCTGTTCTAACTATATCTAATCCTCGCTCTGATGATAAGCAGGAAGCTTAAACAACTTCTTCGCATTATCCTTTCCAATCTTTCTCTTATCACCCTCATCAATAGTCAAACCGTCATACCACGTACAAGCATCAGAAAAGTTCTCAAAAGGATAATCAATCGAGAACAGAATTCTATCAGCTCCAACCTCTTCCATACAGTATTTCAAGGTTGGTGTAGAAAAGTGTCCAGAGGTAGTAATCCACAGGTTTCTAGCAAAGTATTCTCGGATGGTCAACTTGCATGATAGACCGAGAGGCTTCTTGATATCCTCGAACCAATGGTTGATGCGCCACATGTCGAAGGGGATGTGTTCACCTAAATGTCCGAGGACGATTTGGAGCTTGGGATGACGGTCGAAAACACCGTTTGTGACCATGCCCAGGGCGTGAAGGCTGACGCCGTGGGCGAAACTTAGAGGGGGACCGATGAGCCAGCTTCGCTTGGCCCAGAGCTTCTCGTGGATTGTGCCTGTGGGGTTTCGGGGGTGGAGGTAGAATGGGACGTCAAGGTCTGTAACTGTTGACCAGAAAACGTCCCATTCAGGACCATCGTAAAAGACCATATCGTCACCATCGGGACCAGCTCTTTGGGTGTCGTTAACAAGAGCACCCTTGAAGCCGTACTTGGTCACAACACGACGAAGTTCCTCAGCAGCTTCCTTGGGGTCGTGCATAGAGAGGGTACTATCAAGTTAGTAAAGAACAATTGATCTCAGGAATAAACTTACGCCATGGCACCCAGTCTATCAGGATGGGGCTTGATAGCCTCAGCGATATAATCGTTGACCTCAACAGCTAAAGCCTGAGCCTCCTTGGGATCCCAGACATCTTGAACACCAGGAGCTGTGTATGAAAGAAGGGTATAACCAACGCCATGCTCATCCATGTACTTGATGCGCTTATCTGTAATGTCGTTGATCTCTTCGGCGTGCTTATCAGGGTCGGTAGCAAAGAGACCAGCCCACCAGCGAGTGCGCTCCTTGAAGCGAGGGAGAGCAAAGGCTTCTTCTAGGGCAACTTTTCCGTGCATTGTGATGGTGTATGATATTGTTTGATGAGATAGAATGGTTTATTGAGATGGATTGTTTAGAGATAAAGGCTGATATATATTCTCCTCAACTAATACCCCCTCGCTCCTTCCTCCGAGACTGCCGTACGTACGGGTGATGCACCCCCGCAAAGGCAATGAAGCGGATAACGCACTTTCCTCAAGGATTTCACACGTGGATGCAACCCCGCGGGCCGAATGCGGGGTAAATCGACGCTAAACCTTCGGAACACTTCAGCGGGACATCAGTAAAATCTGCTAGAACTAGAGGTCTTACAGTGGGGTTTTCGGAACGGTACAGCGGTATCTCCTGTAAAACCCACTATAACCTCGAACTTCGGAACGCCGTCAGCATCCGAAGTCTGTCGGATGTCGGAAGCGGGGTGAACTCGAAGTGAAGCCTCAAACTCTTCAGAGGGTCTCAGGTAACCAACCTCAAGGCTCAAAACGATTGCACTCGACAGAACAACAAGAATCAGATATCGCAAAATGGACTACTCAATTCAAACTGGCTCGGACGCTTCAGTCCAACCGCACATCCTCGAATTCATCAAAGATTTCTATCGTATCTCCGATACCTTCGGCGAGACCGGGAAATATGTCGACCAGTTTACGCCCAATGCGACATTCGTCGTGGCTTCAAAGAAAGCTTCAGGACACCCAGGTACTTCCCTCCCCACCCCAGTAATCCTACTCTAACATTTCAGAAATCACCACGCTTAGAGAAGGCATGTGGGATGCCGTCTCAGCCCGCAAACACACCCTTGACAAGGTCTTTACCTTCGGCAGTGCTGATGAGGTCATGCTGAATGGCACTGTGGCTTTGGAATTGAAGAATGGCGGGAAAGCCGAGATTGAGTGGGCGGGGAGGATGGAGTTGGAAAAGGGTGCTGACGGAAAGTATCGACTCAAGTTTTATCAGGTTTATCTTGATACTGGTGCTGCTGCCGCTTATAAGAAGTGATGGATAAAGGAGTATCTTAAATTAGTTTAGAGTAAGTCGAACCAAAATAAACCCAGCAAAATAATTACATTATCTTCCGATTCAATAAAATATTATTAACTTAAGTTTATTATTCTTCTATATTAGTTTAAAACTCATCCTATGCCACACTGCCTTTGAAGTGGAAACGTCAAGGCTTACCTTTCATGGGTATGAAGCATGAGATTGATGAGGCTATAGCGTTGATACTTGGCCACTGACAGCTTAAAGGTGTTTGTACTACTTGGATGTATCCTGGAAAGCTAATATATAAACTCAAAAAAGATAGTAATTGCTATAATACCTTAATCCAATGACTCAACCTCTGTATCATCAGTAATGAGATACTGTGAGATATCTCGTTCTATAGGAGGGTGCTTTACTCCTGGCACGAAACCGTTTTCCCTCGGCTTCCCTTGTCGATTCATGTGGGCAGTGGCTGCATATAGTTGCCCTGCCACCTTTCTGTCTCGGAATGAGTCTTCCAAGGAGGAAACCACGTATGTCCTGGATCCATCGCCTTCCAGGGCGACGAGCCGCCTTGAAATAGGCTCTGCCCCCTGTCTTCCGACTGCAGGTGCTATTGCAGCTACAGTGTGACCGCCGGCTGTATCTTCACCGATCATCACATCTCCCGCCTGGCTTTCTGGTGGAGTAGCATAGGTCGATGCTTGGTCGCTATCCGAGTCAATATCACCGTCAACCACAGTGTAGTTTGATGACTGCTGAGGTTGTGGTGCCATGTTTGTTGATGGAAAGGGCCTATGAAAGGTCTGAGCCCCTGGATCTGGGCTCTGTCCTGTTTCGTCAAAGTGTTGCGCCCAGTCTTGTCGACGGCCCCTCTCTACCCATTCTCTGTGTCTCTCAAACGCAGAAGCACGATCGTCTGTGTAATAGAATCCCCTAGGGTTTTCTGAAGTTTGACCCTCGAATGGAGGGTAGTCAAAGGGTGTCCTTTCATCCATCATGGAGCCAGCCATCCTGTCGTTCGAATTCCAGTTCCTCAAAACCTCGGCGAAGGCAAGACTTAGTTCTTCTACCAAGTTCGGAGGCCTAGGCTTATGTCCTCTGGCGTAATCATGTACGGACGGGTGCCATGGATTGTGGCCTGGTGGCATATATCCTGTTCGGTGCCTCGGTGGCGGCGCTGCATGTGGATGGAACGGTGGTCCTTGATCGGAACACAAACTGCCTTCATGATAGCGCGTCTCGTCATAAAAAAAGGATTGACTTGGTGCCACAGGGACGGAAGGTGGGCGGCGGCCACTGTGGGATCTATCAGCGATGGAAGTTGTGTTTTCTGTTTTGTGAAATTGAGAGGGTAGACAGCTGGAATCTGTAAGGCTTTCTCGAGGACTGTGAGGTAGGCTAGGTGGTCGTGCCTGTTGTTTTACTTGCTGGTCTTGATTCTCTTCATAATCGAGTTCGTCGCGATTTCCTCTCCATTCGGTGGCTCTTTGGTGTAAACTTGGCCCCTCCATTGCCAGAAACCTTTGTTTGGCAAGCTCCATGAAATCGTCCATCTTCCCCTTCATCTTTTCATGCAGCCTCAGCTCCATCTCGTGCTCGAGCTTCTCTCGTGCTCTTTTCTCTGCTTCCTCGGCCTTTCTCTCCATTTCGATCTTTATTCTGATTTCACTTTCCATAATCTTTGCTTCACGTTCTTTTTCAGCCTCCTTAGCCTCGTGCTCCCTTTGTGCAGTTTGGGCTCTTTTCCATGTAGCTTCTTCAGCCTCTTTCTTTACTTTCTCTATGTCCCTCCTAGCTTCTTCCTGGGACTTTTGTATATGTTCCATTCTACGCTGAAATTCAGCTTCGGTTTCCTTTCGGATCTGCTCCTCTCTCTCTCTTTGCTTCTCAGATGCTTTGATCTTTCCTTCCATAGCCTGATAAGCAGCGAGCTCTGCTCTTAAGCGGACCTTTTCTGGGTCATCTGCGGGCCGTGTTCCTTGTGTAAAAGATGGCTGGGCATATGCATGCCCAGCCGGAAAATTACTCCCATTTTGATAGCGAGCAGAGTAATCCATCGGATCTTGTTGGTTTGGATCTCCGTAATTGTACTGCGGATAGATGTCGGGGACAACTGGGCCCTCGTTATCAAGACTGAAATTTGGAGCTGATGTCTGTTCTTGTTGGCTTTCAAAAGGAAGGTCTTCAGGAATTGATCTTAAAGAAGAGGGTCTTAGCGGGATTGGTCCCTGTCCGCGAAATGACAGCTGATATTGTGGCAGTCGAACAGGACTGTTATCTCGTGAGAAACGTTCAGCGTGCAGAGGGATATTGTAAGATCTGAAATGTCGATTGGACGACCTTCGTTGACCAGTGGAAGATTGCGTGGAAGAGAAGTGGGGATCCTCGTCGACGCTCCTAATATGATCTCGTGCATTCAATGTTTCTGAAGGTTGGTGATTCGAACGACTGTGGTGTCTGGACGAACTAGAAGGCTGATGAAAATTATTAGAAGTGACATGAGACGCTTTACCTTTGGTGTCGGAAACCATTATAGATGTCTAAATTCCCGATAGAACATGTTAAAGAGCGCTGGAAGCTGATGTATGCTTCTTGGTTTCACCATCCGCTTCCAAAGCTGAATTGAAGGCTCCCGTTATTAAGAAGTGGGCGGGCGGGGTCCAAGGTAGAAACATGGGTAATCTGATAAAGAGAGGCGATGCTTGGTCAAGGTTTCTAGGCTGACCATCACTGTGCCTTGCAAGGCGCTTAAATTATGATAGCTTCAAGTGATTGGCCATATGCGCAGAAGGGGAGCATTCAACGAAATTGAACCATGGCGAATCACATCGCATGACTTGTTGGCTTATATCCTTGCAATTAGCATTACGTGCCCAGGGGGTAAGGGAAAACGGGAAGGAGACCAGCGGTCTTCGGTGTAAGCCATCCTGCTATTTTGCTTCACCCCGAGGCGTGTATACTCCTAAGAGTAAGTCCTGCATGGGCTGAATATGCAGGAATCCCTGTTTATTGAGGCGGGGTTCCAAGGTGATGGTGTTGTCCTCAGCCTGGTTTTTGGAACGAAAGGAAAGCAGGGAGGCAAAGAGCTGGTACTTAAGAAAGAGCTATTTCTTAATTGATTCAGAAGAGGCTTCACCTTTCAGAGTAATCCTCTTGTTATCGCACTATGACTAATGACAACTTAGGCAACCAGCATTTCGCCCAAGACCAATGCGAGCAGAACAACATCAGCGGGGGGCAGCAAACGAACTACCGCAATGTTCAAAGTACACTTGAGCCGACCTTGTTTCTTTGGGAATGATGCTGACGTCGTTTAATCTCAGTCAATTATATTGTGTTATCAGGTGACTGCTCAGGGCCCTTAATGAAGGATTTCCCAGTCCTCGGTGATCGTTTAGACTGTGCGCTTCCCCTAATTACGATGATTCGCTAATCTTCAGCTAACCTGCCATAAAAGCCGAGGCCACGTCCAAATGGCTTCAGACCCAGCTACAGCTTTACCCATTCACGCATCAAGAAAGACATAACAAAGCACTAGGCCAGATTGTATCCGGCAGTGGGCGGTGGATTCTTGACACGAAGGAGGTTAAACAATGGCAGGACGGTAGCCGCGCAAACAGGCATCTTTTAATACACGGGTGTTGTATGTAATACGGATTACTTGCTAGGGGATATAGCTTGCTAACTATTGAGTAATAATTTAGTAGGATCGGGGAAATCTATCCTTTTGTAGGTAACATTACATATGCTCCGGGTGAGCAATCTGCTAACAAGTGTTCCTAAATACAGATCCTGCATTATTCAATCCGTCCAGCAACAGGTTAAGAGCACGCCTAAAACAGCCGTTGTTTACTTTTATCTTGGCTACGGTGATGTCGAACAGCCCCCTACATTTCAACTATGGGCATGTTTGCTGAAGCAGCTCTTACAACAAAGCACTGGCAATATAGCGTCGAGCATAGAGTCCAGATTTGAGAGCTCTCCATATGGCGACAATTTTATTCGTCCTAGTGAACATATCAGTCTCTTCATAGAGCAGTGCTCTATGTTCAGGACAGTATACGTTGTCATCGATGCTCTTGATGTCTACTTGGGCCATCAGTTTGATACAACGCAACAACCTATATCCGAGTCTTTCCAAAAACTGCCAAGTAACGTAAGGGTACTTTTCAGCTCTCAACACAAAGCTCTTGCAAAGGATCTTGGTGTTCAAAGCCGATTACGCGTTGTTCCTAGAGCAGCCGATATAGAGGCCTATGTCAAAGATCGCGTGGAGGATATTTCTCTTCTTCGGAATCTACCAGTAGATGGGAAGGAGCGTCTCACGGAGAGGATAGTTCACCAAACCAGAAAAAGCCACATGTATGTCTAGTCCTAATCAACTCGTTCACGAGGCTAACAGTTTTTAGGTTTCTACTAGCTAAATTGCATCTCAATCGTTTGGAAACGGATACGTCTTTACATACCCTAGAAGACATGCTGAGCGTCCTTGAGATCAATGATAATGACCTGGAGCAAGCATTCAAGCCGTCCTTCGATCGTGTCATGGCTTCTAAACCATCTGATCAGAGTTTAGCCAGACACATTCTTACTTGGGTTATTTATTCAAGACAAGATTTGACCCGCGATCTACTTTTGGAAGCTCTCGATGTATCACGAAGCCGCAACGATTACCATGAACAATGGAAGCTGGATGCAGATTCCCTGCTCCAGGTCTGCTGTGGTCTCGTCATTTTGGACCCTGAGAAGGGAACGTTTCGTTTAATCCATGATTCAATTCGACAATGCGATTCGATGGTGGAACTGGGATTAAGTCAGCTTAAAGCAGAAATACCCCGAGTTTGTTTAGAGTCCCTTCTCAGGGAAAATATCGATAACTACAGCGGCTTGCTCCTACCTTATTCAGCATCATTCTGGGCTTTTCATCTTCGATCTGTTGGCGAAAACATCGATGGGAATCTAGAGGACTTGACTAAAAGATTTCTCTTAAGTCCTTCGAAGATTACCCGGGCTTTGGGCCTTGTTCGTATAATTAGCCCTGGGTACGACATCGGAAACATCACTGGGTTCCATGCTGCTGCTTTCTTCAATCTACCTGACTGGATCAGAAACTTTGAAGAATACCAAATTCCTGTCGATGAGGTTTCTGCAGACGGAAAGACGGCGCTTCATTGGGCAGTGGCACATGGCAGACGTGACCCAGTCATTCAGCTACTTGTTCTCGGTGCTAATCCAAACATCCAGGATTCCTCAAATGAAACACCATTACATAAGATTCCTCGAGGCTCCACCGAAATATGCTCAAGTATTGCTCGCGATCTAATCAAATACGGGGCGGACGTGACTATACAAAGCAAGGGACAGTCACCTTTATCCTTAGCTATACAGTATGGGCCTACCTCACTCGCTAGGCTCTTCATTAAGAGCCAAAATGATGTCAACAAAGAGATTTCTACTGGTTGGACTTCTTTAAGGGAGCTGTTCTATCATGGTTACTATATCGGTACATGGCTGAGAGACCAGGGGGGAGGATCAGGACAAAGTCGGCGGGGGGGCGAAGTAAAAAAGCATTTACATGGCTTGCTTGACTTGCTACTGGAGAGAGGGGCGAGACTGAATGAAGCAACTTCTGACAATTGGCTTCCTCTACCAGCTGCTGTCAGACTTGGGAGCGCCTCTATTGTTGAGAAGCTACTAAGTCATCAACCAAACCCAGCTGATAGCAACGTACGAGATAAGCAAACGGGAGAGACACCTCTTAAGACTGCCCTTACCTACAACAGACGGAAAGAAGCTCGACTCCTACTCCAGCATGGGTCAGATGTCAATGAGGATAATGAGGATGGCTGGAAACCATTGATTCACCTATGCCAGGTGAACGACCACGAACTGGTCCAAACAGTAGTCGAAAAGGGAGCCCGGCTTGATGACATTGACAGTAAAGGCCTCCCAGCACTCTCCTATGCAGTCAAAAACAACAACAAAGATATTGCTTGGCTCTTGATGACGAAAGGAGCCGACGTCAACATTCCAGGACCCAAATCTAAGCAGAATCTGGAGCGAGCCCTTCAACACGATGATTACTCTATTGCATGGCTTTTATGTGAACACGGTGCCGCCGTCGAAAGGCAAGATGACAGAGGCATGACTCTTTTGCATCGCGCATCCCGTAAGGGAAACCTACGACAAGTCCAATTTTTGATGGACAGGGGGCTGACTCTGAGTACTGGCGACGAAAATGGCCAAACTCCGTTACATCATGCGGTCGAAGGAGGATCAGAGAAGGTTGTACACTTCCTTGCCTCCAGAAATACGGGGCCTAGGACTCTTGACAAACCTGACAACTACGGATCCACTGCCCTGATGCTCGCTATATTGAAGATGAACTTTCCAATGGCCCGGACCCTCCTACGCCACGGCGCGTCTTGCGAAGTGAAAGACCACAATGGCATGGCACCTATCCATTCAGTAGCGCAATTAGGATGGCTAGAAGGCCTTCGAGCTGTCATTCAACAAGTGAAAAACATCAACATGACCGACAACGTGGGCAATACTGCTGTTCATCATGCCGTCTATGGAGAGCAGATCGATATAATCCGCCACCTTGCTAGTCAGCAGGCAAGTTTGGAAGTTTTAAACAACAATGGCTGTTCTCCGTTAATAGCAGCAGTTCTTCAAGATAGCCCTGATGTTGTTTGGGCATTGCTTCGTAATGGGGCAAATGTACATCGGATAGGCAAGAATGGTTGTTCAGCAATCGACTTTGCCTCGTATCGGGGAACCTCAAGGTCAATGAACATTTTCCAGACGGTGTTGAAACTACCATGGTCTCAGGATGACCCTAATGGTTCTTAATTTGTCAAATGTTAATACTTTCAATATTAGATATCTCGAATTAATATAACTATTTAAGCCAAGTATAAACCTACTTAATACTTACTATATGTAATATTATAATTTAACTTTAAATTAATTTAAATCTTTAAGCTTAGCTATCTAGTAATGTTATATATCCTACTTTAGTAAGATAGTCTAAGTTAAGAAGTTAAAATTATAATATAGCTTTACTAAGGATTCCTTACCTTAGTATTAAAGAACTTCTTATATACTAAGTACTAGCCTTGCTCTTTAACATTATAGTTTAGGATTTAATTTAAGAATATATCTCTATATACTTCAGAGAAATTCCTATATTAACTAGCTTTACTTTCAATCTTAATTAAAGTAGGTTATATAAAAGGATAGTAAAAAGAAGTTATATGTATATAGGCTGATAGAATGTACTTTAAACCTGTTGATAGCTATGGCAGATCAAGTCCCACGTGCACCCCCGTTCACTTGGTTATTATCTAAAAACAGATGTGTTATTCGCAATCAAGGTCTGTGGCAGAGACCCTAATCAGCACAGAGACCTCAGTTGTCCAATCACAACCTTTTACAGTATGATCTGATCTTTTCAATGCCAAGAGGGATTCAATATATGCGGGTTGCCTTATGCGATCATCGGGCCTCAATCGGTCGCTTGGTTCGCACAAGTCAGATTTCTGTCCACACAGCCTCGGTTGAGCCGCATTCCTTTGTCACTTTTAGATCTTCATGGATCTGAACCCCTAGGTCAAAGTGAGGGTTGGCCTTCCTGGAGGAGGTTGGCCCGCATTGGATGATGATCCAATGACCCTGGAATTAAAAGCCGCCACCCTTTCAGATTATGTCTCGTAATGGAGGTGGGCGTGTAGGTTGCTCGCGGAATAGCCAAGGCTTACTTGGTGCCATCTTTAGATAACATGGAGCGAGTAGACTTTTCCAGTCTACAATATTGTGGCGAAGTGGTTGCCTGGTTGAGAAAGCCCGGTAAGAAAGCGCCATAAGCATGCAACCGGGGGCTTGAAAGACGCCAGCTTGACCTGCCGTAGCCACAAAGCCCTTTCACTGGAGTGAACAACGCAGGCTTCCACACATGTTGATCTGGGCATAAGATTAGTGGCGGGTAAGTGATCAGGGCACTGATGCACAAAGACACTTAAGGAACAGGATATTCATCCTATGATTTGTCAAAACACAACTCTTCGTTGCGCAGCAACATTAGGCAGACATGGGTGAAATGGGAATTGGTTGCACAGGTACTTTCAGCCTCAAAAGTTATTAAATCCGTTTTTAATTAAGCGCCAGGAAAGGCGAAGTAGTAAGACACGCAAGTCCAAAGTCGGTAACGACTCAATCATCAGGTATACATTACTTAGTACCTGGTAATATTGACAGGATAAAGCGCCGAGAGTGCTGGAAAGCAACGTATAAAGGGAATTATGTCTCCCTATTTCTCATCATGAATCCTATATAGCATTATTTCCATTCTAATCTCTTTTACAAATTTCCTTTCCAAATGGATTCTATAATTCCTATCATTAGCACGACGACCTCTGCTCTTGAACAGGCTGGAGTAGCATACAATGCAATTAAAAACTCCAACCAGCTCAAAATAAGTTTCCACCAGGCAGGCGAAGGACTTGCGGTTGTTAAATCTACTCTCAATAGTATAAAACTTCATATTGAAAGTGGAAACCTCAGCGGGGACGATGATGCCGCTGATACATGCATCAGGACGTGTTGCGACAGTGCTAGTTGCTCACAGCGGGTTTTTGCGGAAGTAGCTAGGGGTACGGATCAAGAAAGGCTTAAAACCTACAGGATCTACCTCAAGCATCAGGGCAAAGAGCATAGGGTGGAAGTATTGATGCGGGCAATGATGGTCAACACATGCGAACTGGCCAAGCACGTTGGAGTCGAGAGAGAAGTCAAAAGTGATTTAAGGAGCCTGCGTTGGTCTATCAAGAATTTTGACCAAGAGATTTTGAAGCAGGATGAGGAGGATGAGAAGATGAGGGGAACGGGTGGCGCCACTCACTGCGGTATTGGTGACTTTTACCACGCGAAAGACGATGCAACTCAGAACAACATCAAAGACAATGGAACACAGTACTTCGGGTCGCCCGAGGGGGGCTGGCCGCAGAAAAGAGCACCCGCATAATCTTTCGGTTGTCTTTCGGCCAGGACTGGTAGAAATACTGGGTAGGAGCATGGTTTGACCGATAGGATGTCTTATTGGAGCCCATAGAAGACGTGTTATACCTGTACTTTGCCGTATTCATGCCAAATATTGACTCCTCCGTAAGACAAATCTCCTTATTAATTGAAGATATAGCGGTCTTTGTTCCTCCATCTTCTGGAACTAAAATAACATTCAATGTTTCAACGGCGTATTTATTTGGTTTCTCCCTTTCTCCCCTCAACAACAAAAGGCCACTGAATAAGTGGGGTGATGGACAACGTTTGGGAGAGGCAGATATCGAGTTAGCATAGGTATGCAGACTTTGCAGACACATGGGGGTCGGACACATTCTGTCCCTTTGATTGGGTAAGCGACAGGTTTTTAACCGCCTGCCTTGCTTGGCCTCCTGCAGGTCTGTGTTGTCAAAAGCACACGAACAAGCCAACAGGTCTACTGAGTGGCTGTCACATCAGAGGTGCAGGCAGGTGGGAGGCCTCTGAAACCCTTTGTGGGAAATCTTTTCCACCACCCACCCTCTTTCACCCATGCTGTTTGCTTTTCTCGAACCATCGCTGGGTTGATTGCTTATCGGAAACAGACCAGAATAGTCTAACTACATATTGAAACACTCGACAGTACCATGAAGTCCATTGCTTCGAAACTCAGGGTTATATTCAATTCCAAAGACAAAGCACGTCGTGTCACGCTGCAACAACATGATGAAGTCAGTCCTCCGAGTCCGGCTACCGATCTCGTGCCGTCGCCACCAACGGCACAGACAGCACTAGCAACAGCAAGAACAGACCTGCCCCCTCAAACGGTGCTGTTTGAGCCGGAAGACGCCATTTCGTTATGGAATGATGCCTATGACAGTTTGAGGGCCAAAGACGAGCCGTTAGTGACTGCATACGAGAACTTGCTTTCACAAGAGTTGCGATCCGAAGAAGGTATTATTTTATAACGCTTGAAGAATACCTCATCAGTACTAAGTTCTAATAGATAGTCATGACCGCAACGAGAGTGAATCGGACAATTGCATCGACAACGAAGATGTCAATCACCGACATAAACAATTACAGATGATCATAAGAAATGGTCAGCGACGAGCCGAAAAGGAAAGGACTACATACACAATCTTCGGCAAGACCTTCACCGTACGGGATCAAGCATCTCGAACCGCTGAGTTCGTCAAAAGCGTGAAAACGATTGTGGACGAAGCGGTTAAGGCGTCACCGGAGGCAGCCTTAGCTTGGGCCGGTATTTGCACAGTACTACCGATTTTGATCAATCCTGCATCTGCAGAGGCGTCTCAACAAGAAGGGTTCGCATACGTTACATTACGTATGCAATTCTATGGGCAGTTAAAGAGCCATCTGGGACTAGACGGTATCCAGAACGCGACTGAGTTAAGACTACAGCTCAGCAATAGTCTTGTTAATTTATATCAGCATATGCTTGAGTTTCAGATCAAGGTTGTCATTCGGTTATACGAGACGCGACTGAAGCGGCTGAGACATGATATAATAAAGCATGAAGAATGGAATGCAATGCTTGCCAAGATTAAAGAGGCAGAAACCACCTTCGATAGGGATATGAAGATGTTCACTGGCCTGTCACTGGAAACGGAGCTGAAACGCCTCAACGAAAAGGTGGCCCGGTTTCTGGATGACTTAAGATCGACGCTACCCGTTGCAAGGGAGGCTAAAAAGTCTCGATCGCCTATTCACAGCGGTTATGGAGACCAGTACGCTGCCTTTGATGCTGCAACCCAGAACAATATCTCGGGCAACGCCGTTCAGTACGCTGGAGGAACGTTCTACGGACCTGTTAGCAGTGGCAGGGACAGGTAAAGATAATGTCCTGAAGATCCAGAGGGTGACAGGATATGAGAAGATTCAGAGTATATATCGACCACCGAAGGTAGTTACTACGCACAAAGATCACATTCTTAGTAGACCTCCTTTATTTACCTGATCTTTATCCTAAGGTCGAGCTATTCAGATATGCATAAAAGTCTCAACTTACTATATAGGATATTCAGGTAAAGCAAACACTGGAAAGGTAGAGGAGTTTAGATACCGGTGAAAAAAGATAGTTATTGAACATAGACATTCTGGAATTAAATACAAAGGCTAGATATAAAGTAAAAAGAAACATAACTTAGGCAGCCCCAACAGTAACACCATTAGGAAGCACCAACCCAAGAGGCAACCCATTGCTAAATCCACCAGCATACTTATCCCCCTTCTCCTTAGCAAGCTTTTCCTCAATATCCCGATACATATCATAAGTGTTCATCTCCTCAATAGTCAAAACCTCCTTCTCATTCTCAACTTTGTAAGTAGAAGTATCCTTGTTCACCGAGAATCCAATTCGCTCGTTGATATTGTAAGCAGCCTTGGCAGCAGCTGCTTGAACGCGTGTAGCTCGTGGTAAACGAACCTTTTCGTACACGGACAACGCTTGTGAGATGTCGCCGTTGAAATAACGCTTGCTGAAGAGGATTCCTAGGGCTGCGGCGTCTTCGATGGCCATGCAGGCTCCTTGCGATTGGTGGGGCATCATGGGGTGGCCTGCGTCGCCGAGAAGACAGACGTTACCTTTTTGGAGGTAGGGGTAAGGCTTGTGGACCCAGAGTCTCCAGGGCTGAATCTCCTTTCCGATAGCAAGGTGACCAAGAACTTGGCTGTCGAGTTGGGGGTACGGCTTGAGGAGATCTTCGACGGGAAGACTATCGGCTCCCCAGGCTTGTGTAGTGTAATCGCCTTGCTCGCGGGGGAAGAAGCAGTAGTAAGAAAGAAGCTTGCCACCGTTGCAAGGAGACAGAACGATCTTATCCCACTTGCCCTCTTGACCGCCCCAGTACTCGAGAGCCTCGTTTTGGGAGTAGTCAACGAGACCAGCCTTGACGGCTTCTTCGGTCGTGACGTTGCAGTGAAGACAGCTCTGATCAGAAGGCTTCCTCTCAGGCTGAATACCCAGAATTCCACGAACAGCAGATCCAATACCATCAGCACCAATGATAAGATCATGCTTGACAACAACGCCATTGTCAAAAGTAACAGTACCAGTAGGAATATCAATATCCTTGCACTTGTGCCTAACCTCCAACTTGACAGGCTCACCCTCACCAGCCTCACTCATAGCAGTATCCTTAAGCATAGCATGCATATACTGACGATGAAACATATTGTAGACAAAACCCCAGCGCTTTTCATAATCTTCAAGATCGTACACGCTGACGGGCTCGCCGGTTTTCCAGTCTCGGTTGATGAGTTTCTTGAGGACGACAGGATCGCCCTTGGCGACGTCGACGTCCCACTCGTGCAGCCAGCGGGTTCCGTTAGCAGCGCAGGATACTGATGCGCCGACTTCTCCGGCAAAGTCGGAGCGTTCGTAGATTGTTACTGTGTGGCCGGCGCGGCGGAGGGCGATGGCGACGGACATGCCGCCGATGCCACCTCCGATGACGCCTACTGATAGGTGTTTCCAGTTGGGCATTGTGGGGGTATCCTTGATCATTGTGAAGTAAAGAGAACTGAGTAAGGAATGAGTTGAGTGATAAGACTGGTTGATGTCTTGTTAAAATCCCAAGATGAGATTATTGATGATTGATGTGATGTTGTATTGAAGGATTGAGTGATGATGATGATTGATCTCGAGCTGAACAACCTCTATTTAGCTTTCCATCTCCAAAGGCTATCTGACTATGATCACCACCCGTTCAGTTCATATCCGCCTGCAACCACTATCAATGTCTTCAACCGCTTGCGGCTGGTAACGGAACTTCGGAACTAATGATAGGTTCAAGATAGCGGATGCGGAAGTTGTGCTTTATCCGCTAGTGTCGGGTAATGCACCAGTTGTCAGTGGCTGGAGATAGCCGCTTACTGGGGGCTTGTCGATCATTGCGGGGGTAAGCGGGTTACCTGAGCCGCTGGGGATTGACAGATGGTGGAAGGTGAGCCGCACAAGTTGACAGTTAGACAGGGTCTCAATTAAATGATACAGAGTGTTTCAGGGTAATGATATTGTATTATCAAATTAAGAATTCATCATTCATGACAGAAACGGATATGTATCCCATAGAGAAACATTCAAAGTCTCCCAATCCAAACTAAAATCACCACCATCCGGCTCTTGGAATACCCAATCCTGCATCGCATCATCAACCACCCCAGGCTGAACATCTGTAAGCGGGAACATATTATCCAACGACTCATGAACATCTTGTGAGCTCTTTGGTGCATCCAAACTAAACAGCTTTGACACGTATCGACTCCTGCCCGTGGATGATTCGGTTGAGCGTCGCTTATCGATGGCGCCAGATAACGTCGTGAGAATATCGAGATAGTGAGCGGCTTGGGGACTTTGCGTAGATAGATGCTTGAGGACTTGTTTCGCGCCTTCAAAAGCATTGTTGATGTCGGATTCGACGGGATATTTGGCAAATATTTCCAAGCCGAGGACTAATCCAGATGCAAACACAAGAGCTCTGTGTCCGTTAGCAGGTGTTGAAGTTGATGATGGGTAACGTACTTCATAATACACATATTTCCTTGTAAGAGACCAGCATTCAACGCCTCCACACAAGTCTGCGACAAATACATGGCAGCATCAAGACAAGCAGCCGCCAACTGTGAATGAGCACCCTTGCCGAGCGGTTTCGCCGTAAGAGTCGATATCAAGAATGGTCTCGACACCAGCATAACCGCTAGATAGTATAAACACGAAACATGCACCTTGGCGATGGTTCCATGCTGTGCACCGTCTGATATTCTAACCGACGCAGGAAGATCACGTTTCCATCGCTCAATATCCTGAAGGAACTGTTCTACTATTGCCGTCGTAACTTTCTTTTGATCGTAAAGTGTATCGGTTATTTCGTTAATAATTGATGAAACCTTGTTGGCGGCCATTAAACATTCGGTTATTCGATCACCCGGTTGTGCAACGTCGTCAAGTTTGCTATCCGATCGGATCTGGGCTGAAGCGGATGGGCGGCCAAGAAGTGAATTGACGAGCTTATCGAGGATACAGACACTCATCCAAATGCGTAATCTAACCGGTTAGCTAAAGTTCTTCCAAAAATTCGGCTACTTACTTGGATTGATCCCCTGCATCTGGCTTTTGTCCGTAAGACTCCCGACTATGGAGCCCAAGAGCAAGAGCCGCCTTGGCAGCGACACCAAGATACATAAATGCAGCATTCCTCCGACACTCACCAAGCATGTAAAATGCCATGAGAAGAAACGTGCGCACCATGTCGAGATCGGGATCTTCAAGAAACCCTTCGAATGCTTGAGCGCGTGCTTTTCGAAAGTAGGCTTGGCCTGCCCTTTTTGAGCTGGAGAGAGATTCGCATTGAGCGCCGATGGCAATGACAAGGTCGAATGAGGCTTGTTTGAGGGGAGAAAGACTGTGCCCTGGGGATTCCAGGTTGCGGGCAAGATAATGAGTTTCGATTTCGGATTCGTCAAATACATGGATCAATGCTTCGGTCTGGTGTTGTTAGCATGGATGATGAGATCGCGTGAGTAGACATACCACTTTGAGATAAGAGTTCAAGTATTGAACTTTTTGCGCTTGACCCAGAACAAGGTCATTGAGCCCGTCATCTGTTGTGGCAGTTGGCGACTCAATCTCAAGCATCTTGTCGCTCGTCTCATTGTGAGAGAATGCAGAAGGTCCGATTTGTTGAGAGACGAGATTGCGAACAATTTGAAGGAACGATATAGATGCAGCGCCGCCAATGTAAACTAACCCAGTTAGCCAATATCCCTCTCAGGTCATGCTTCCCGGGTCATGGGTCTCACCTCTCTCCCCTCGTGAGTTCAAGAGCATCCGCGGATTCGTAGCAGCCGTCGCATCCTGCCCATCCTTCTCATCATCCTGCTGCGAATGCGACGGAGAAAGCGGCCGATAACTCTCCTCCTCTACCGGCTGAACACTCTGAATCGAAGAGATACTCATCCGTTCCGTAGCAGCAGCTCTCTCCGCCCTCGCCCTGGTTCTCGATCCTCTAGGCGCATACGTAATAAAACACTGCGTCTGCAGCCCGCGTCGCACACATTGAGTACAAGGTGCTGTACCGCTACATCGCTTTTTCGTTTCGCGACACAAATTGCAGGCTTCTGCTGCTCTTTGGCGTTGATGGGCTGGAACAATTGGACGAGGCATTGTGGTGGAAGTGAGAGGGAAGTTGATAGGAAAGCTTTCAGGTTCCGACGGAACGGCAGATAAGCTGTCGGGGTGATGGCGCTAGTTTTTAGGGGTGGTAGGGGTTCAGTTTGCGGGGTATCGCTGTTGATAGCGCTGGAGATTGTTGACTCAGCGGTACGATACCGAAGGGTCCGCTATTGGTGCTCGTTTAGAACGGGAATAGCGGTCTACAACCACATTGAAGTCAATCAGGTTGGATAACTTGTGAAAGTTCCAAAATGCAGAGTTACTTTTACTCCAAACTTCATTCTATCTCTTGCAATCCGATTGTTTAATTTATGTCCTTTTTGTAGTGAATAGTGCCGCGCCTCGCCATAACTGTAGACGCTGATACAGTGATTTTTCAAGGTGTGTTTGCAGTTGGTTAATGTTTTTCCTTACACCCAAACTTGCTTATTTACTTCGTTGTATTACTCTCTAGGGGAAAACCGTAGCCCAGGCTCATTTGATTGATGCTCCTAATTATATGCCGCCACACGTGAACAAACCTGCGTCCCAAAGTCATCCCGGCATCGGACTACAACTTTTAAAGCCTTTCGTATACCATCCCAACAGCACTCGCTCGCCTTCACGTGAAAACATCTTTCAGCTCTTCAAGTATCTCAGCGTATCTTCCCATATCAAAGCTGACATCATCAACTTGTCTTGAGACCTGGGCACAGGAAGGAGCTGGCGGCATCAACCCAAATCTCATCAGGCACCAGCGGTAACTTCCCAGAATGCAAGCATCCAGTTCACCTTCCCTCAAACGTCCACCATGGAGGGTACGTCGCACAACTCACCCGAATCTCCCTCCCAGCTCTCCCTCCCCCATCTTCGACTCTGCGCCAAACCCCTCTTCTACCAGCAGCATGGTAGACTTTGGTATCAACGACACGCCTGACCCGCCCGTGAATTCCGAAACCGACCTGATATCCTTTGACACGGATGGCTTTGGCGACGACACGCCTAAGCCACCCAAAAGTCCCGAGTCTGACCTGATATCATTCAGCCCGGAGCGTGGCGACAAGAGCACGCGCAATCCCCTCGAGAACCCCCAAACAAACCCGATCATCTTCGGTCCAGATGACTTTGGCGACAACGACACGTCTAATTACCCGGCAAACCACGGACTCGACCTCATTTTCTTCGGCCCAGTGGAAGATGGCATCTCCAATCTCACGATAAACCCTGCTCCCTCCCCCGAGCCCAGAGAGGGTTCATTCATCAAATTCACTCAGAAAGGCATCTCTGATCTCGCCTCTGCAGCCGGCCTGACCAACGAAGAGAGACTGTCACTCGTCCATGCCGTCAGTGTATTTATGGAAGGTTGGGGTCACGAAGAAATCCCTGAAACACCCAAATGGAACTCCCAACTCGGTCGGAACTTCTCTCCCTTCGAATACTCGGTCGACTTTAATCTCAAGACGGGCAAGAAGAAAGTTGGCTTTCGTTTTGAACTTCCACACGGAAACACCATCCAGGCCATGCAAGAAAGCGCCGACAAGCTCACCGACAACCTGTCGTCCACCTATTTCGAGGTCGTCTTACACGGATTCTATCTTGTCAGATACATTTTCTTTGTGCCTTATCATCTCGGGCCGTTTGTAGCCTGGTTTGGCTACGACGATCTTGCTTGGAAGATTTATTTCGACATTCGAGCCCAAGGTCAAGACAACGCGGGTCGTCTCATCTACCAAGCTCTTCATCATCTGGACATGACCAAAGCCTGGCATGTGATTGACGACGTTATCGATTGGGGATTCGGACTTCCCATCCGGCTCGGTGTTGATCTCGTCAACGAAGATTATGCACGGGTTGAAGTAGTCGTTGACTTCTGGGGACAGACATTCAAGAATTTCGCACACAGCGCTACGGAGAGATACTACCCACGGAACGATGAGGTTGCCACTGAAGATGAAGTCTTGCGACTCTGTAGGATCCTTTTGGGTGTTGAAGATGACGATACGAGCTGTATTGGAGAAGCTCCTCTCATATCGTACTCATTCACTCACGCGAAGGACCGAGATGTCAATCTTGAGATGACCGTTCACATTCCGGTTGGGTCATACATGCATGATGATGCGCAGTTTCAGAAACGAGTGGAGGATTGGGTGAGAGGATTGTCGCATGTTTTGAGTGAACAACAGATTGACAATTTTGTTGAGTCGTATCAAGAGTGTTTGAAGGCGATTGCGAGGAGACCTTTGGAGGAGGGAAGTGGTTTGCAGTCCTGGTTTTCTTTGAAGGAGAGTATCAAGGATGGAACTGTTGTTACGGTTCATTTTTCGACCGAGATGTATGGTGCGTTGCCTGTGATGGAGACAGTCGCAGGCCTAAGTGTGCCGTAGGAAGTGAATTCATGAGAACAAAATAATTAGGGGCTAATGAAATATCCGATTAGAGTGCGCAATAACAAATCAATAGAATAGTGTCACTGTCAATTGCTTTGACTATTCCCAATTTGCCAATATCATGAAGTTTGTTAGTGCCTGACTCATCAAGGACAAGCGCAGCCTCAAACAGTGGATCTCCGCCCTTTCTGGACATGTCCGAGTCTTCGCCGCAACCCTGCAACCCATGACCTCTTCATTCTTTATCATCGAAAATGGCAGAAATCAACGACATACTCCCGGAAATAGACTTCTCGTCATTCAATGAACCAGATACCATCTCACCAGGCATTTTACAAGCGTCAGCTGCCCCGCCGAAAATCGGAAACAGATTCTCGTCCGAGAGTGTCAAGATTTTGAGGAATTGGTTCGCGGCGCATGAGAGGCATCCGTATCCTAGTATTCAGGATGTGCAGGACTTGCAGGAACAGACCGGGCTTAATAGGCAACAGGTTACCAATTGGTTCGCCAATGCGAGACGCAGAGCAAAGGTTCATCTCTCGAGACCGAATTCACCAATGTACGACTCTGGTAATTCTTCGGGGAATCATACGCCCATAGATACGCCTAGACGAAGACCGACACCTGCTCCATTCGAGTATATGAATCCGTTGCAACGATGGGCTAATTCACCGCCTGAGCATGAAGCTGCGACCGTGGATGATATTTCTCGTGCGGTGGCGGCTTTTGGAAGACAGGGTCGTACGAGGAGTAATGGGTCTTCAATCAGCAGCAGAGGAACTTCAGTGTCGAGTCAAGATTCTGGGTCGTACAGTTCTGCGCACTCAAAACAGTCTTCTACTTCGTTTGACATTTTTAAACGGCACGGTCGGAGAAGGAGGACTAAAATGAGAAGACAGGAAGTCAGGACGAATTTGCTTCAAGCGCAAAATACCTACCAATGCACATTTTGCACGGAGACATTCAAGACGAAATACGATTGGCAAAGACACGAAAAATCTCTTCATTTATCACTCGAGAATTGGGTCTGTTCACCAAAAGGTCCAACAGCAATCCATCCAGAACAAGGTCCCCTCTGCGTCTTCTGCGGCTTCAAAAACCCCGACAAAACACACCTCGACAGCCACAACCAAAGCGCGTGCATAGAACGTCCCCTCGAAGAAAGAACGTACCATCGAAAAGACCATCTCCAGCAGCATTTACGCTTAGTCCACATGTCCAAGTTTTGCAAATGGCCTATGGATGAGTGGAAGGTTATGACAGAAGAAATCAAGTCGAGGTGTGGCTTTTGTGGTGTGGGACTTACCACTTGGGCCAGTCGTGTTGATCATCTTGCGGATCATTTTAAGGCGGGGAGTACGATGGAGCATTGGAAGGGGGATTGGGGGTTTGAGGCTAAGATTATTGATCGGATTGATAATGCGATGCCGCCGTGTGAGTCATGTCACTGGGGTGTGAGATTATTGCTAATGGTTCTTTAGATCTTATTCATCATGAACGAAACTCTCCTTTGCCGTTTGCCGCTACGAAAGGACCAGCAGATACACCGACAAGCGCATACGAACTGATCAAACTGGAACTGGAATACTATATGCAGAATCGGCATCAACACATGCCCCCCGATCCCGAGCTTCACTTTGAAGCATGTTCCGTTATTCTCGGCGCAGAGGTCATTTCAATCAACCCAGCGTCTTCATCGCCATCTTGGCTATGGGATATATTCATGTCCGCCGTGGACATCGCGAACCAAGCTCGTTTACGACCTACAAAACAACTCGCAGAGTCAAGATTGAGTCAGTTGAAGATTAACGGAAAGGGGAATATTTTTGAGAATTGTGAGTTGGAAGCTGCGTTGCAACAATACATGACTGCGCATATTTCCATGGGCCATTTTCCATCGGATGCGGAGTTGCAGCAAGAAGCGTGCAATGTACTCAGTCGATCAGAAACTTCATCGCCGAATCCTTCGAGGAGGTTTCTGGATTTTCTTATGAGATTGGTTTGGAGTTCGACGGTTTGGCTTGCACCAGTACGACAACGCGCTTCAGCTATTGTATCGATGGATGAATCTTACTTTCCATGGCAAACGGACACGTTAATGCCGTTGGATTCATCCATGGAACTGGATATGTCGTTGACACAGCCCTGGATGGAGAACCGATCACTTTCTCCAGAGGGTGTACCTGAATTACCAGCGATATCAACACAAATACCGGAAACACGAGCATTAATCAGAGACAAGGTTCGAACAGCGACGCCATTCTTTATAAACGACAACAACAGCTATAGACGATTGAAGAGAGAATTGTCTAGATTCGTCATGACGACTATGTCACCGAATAATCCAAATCGACATATTCCAAGCGACGATGAACTTAAATATCAAGCACGATGGATTTTATACGACGAGTAAGTCTCATCCCCCTCGAAATGAATAACGATTGACATTTGTAGTGACGACCCATGGAATCAAACACCAGTCGACAACGCAGAATGGCTCCAAGAATTCAAACGCGACGTCGGTCTCCCAACCTAACGAGAAATAGGACAAGCACCAAGATCCCTAGCAACAGGCTCACTCTCAATCGAAATATCAAAGTCGAAAATATCCATCGGGATACCTAGCGTGGTGCAAGCGTTGGGAATGTCGACTATACCAGCGATGGCTCCTCGGATTGGCGCACAGGACAGCAGGAGATAGATTTGTTCACCAGAGTAACCTGATAATCAGCATTGTATAGAAGTTTAGAGGAATGAGATCTTACCGAATTGTTTGAGATATTCTATTGCGCGCAGACAGGATTGTCTGTATGCGATTGTTGCGTCCATAAAGTGCTGTTTTCCATTCTCGTCGACGGAGAAACCTTCAAAGGTGAGGTAGCGAGAGGGACTAAAGGTTGGACCCATGTCTCCTGGGCGATATACTGGAGATTTGAGACCTCGTGATTTCATTCCGCCTTTGATGAGGTCGAATTTGATGGTGATGATGCCAGCCTAAACTGTTAGCGGATATCCCAATAATTGTTCAGAGTGCTCACCATCTCAATAGCTCCGCAGAAGCTAATCTCCCCATCACCCTGACTAAAATGAAGATCTCCAACAGAAAACTTGGCTCCCTTGACATGAACAGGAAGATACGTCTTGGATCCTCTAGAAATATTATTAATATCACAATTTCCTCCATGTTCAGGTCTTCCAGGAATTGTCCTAGCACCCTCCTTTGCAATTCTGCTCATAACATCACCCTTGGCTTGTCCACCGTGAGCATTGACTTCATTTGGAGGTTGAGCGACCACTTGATCAGGATGCGAATCAGCGAGTGAAGTCACCAATTCACCCTCACGTTTATTCCACTCAGCGAGAATCTCGGCAGATGGTGCACAACCCAGAATACCGGGGTGAATAAGGCCTGGGAAGCGAACACCAGGGATATGACGACTGGAGCAATAAACACCGTCAAAGTCCCAGATTGCTTTCGCAGCATCAGGATAATGCTCCGACAAAAAGCCACCACCGTTCTTCTTTGCAAAAATACCAGTGAATCCCCAAGGAGAATGATCAAACGGTTGGACATCCGTGATATTCACGACGAGTAAATCACCAGGTTCACTACCCTTGATGTCGAATGGTCCGGTGAGATAGTGGATCTTGGTAAGGTCCACATCGCGGACGTCATCTGCGCTGTCGTTGTTTCCGATTTGGCCGCCTGTCCAGTCTAGACATTCGATTTTGACTGTTTCGCCTGGTTCGACGGTTGCGATCGATGGAACTGGTTTGTTAGAGGTGAAGTGAAGTGAGGGGTGGGTGAAGTTACCTTCTGGATGCCATCTGTTGTGCAGGTATGGTTGGTCTGCGGCGGGAGTGTCGAAGGAGACAGATTGAGCTGTTCTAATTTTGCCAGGCATTTTGACGACTTCAATTGAAGATGATTGTAATTAATTGACTCAGTTTGTCTGCATCTGTGGTTAAATACCTACCTATGTCGTAGATACTGTCTTATCTCGGCATCCACCTCCGCACTCTCCGCACGATAAGAGATAGATAAGCTCATGCAGGTGACGTTCCCTTCCAGATAGAGAAGGTGGTTGCATGTCATGACAGGGCGAAACTCGTGACACAGTATATCTACTGTGTGTTGCTTGTCTATCGCGGGGTTAACGTTATATGAAGCTATCGTGACGCATCAACTTCTAACGTTGTCATCTTTTTTGTATGTGGATATCGACTAACGTTATCATTTTTGCTTCTGTGAATATCTTCTGGAGAGTGGAGACCAGTTGTCATCAGAACCTCTGGGGATTAACGTTATCGTCCACGGTCAGCAATCACCAACTATATAAGTCTTTCGAGTAGCCGAACTATCAGTACAAACCAGCAACACAGTGACAATCTCTATCATCAACATGTCCATCGAATACCATTCTCTCGGCGACTTCAAGCTCCAAAGCGGCATCGTCCTACCAAACGCTCAAATCGCCTACAAAACATTCGGCAACAAATCCTCCCCCGCCGTTCTCTACCCATCATGGTTCTCCGGCGCAATCGAAGATAATGAATGGCTCATCGGCGAAGATAAAACTCTCAATCCGAAAAAGTATTTCATCATCATAACAGCTCTTTTCGGAAATGGCCAATCTACTAGCCCCTCAAACACTGACATCAGTCGCTTTCCTGATGTTTCTTTCTACGATAATGTTCGTGCTCAGCGTGAACTTATGAATCATCTTGGTATTAAGCATCTTCGTGCTGTGCTGGGTTGGTCGATGGGTGCTGCGCAGAGTTTTCAGTGGGCTACGCAATATCCTGATTTCATGGACATTGTCGTTCCATTCTGTGGCTCAGCGAGAACATCTCTTCACAACCAAGTCTTCCTCGAGGGTGTGAAATCAGCTCTCATCGCAGCCAAGGGTAAATCTTCAGCTGGTTCTTGCCAGACTGGAGTCAACGACACAAAATGGACCGACAAGGAGAAAGAAGTTGGTCTAAAGGCTTTCGGTCGAGGATACGCAGGTTGGGGTTTCTCGCAGGCCTTTTACAGAGAAGAGCTTTTCAAGAAATTCTACGGCGCGCCTGATCTCGAGACATTCATGAAAGAATTCTGGGAATCTTGGGCGTTGAGCAAAGATCCTGAGAATTTACTCGTCATGCTTCAAACGTGGCAGAGCGGCGACGTAAGCAAACAAGAGCCGTACAATGGGAACTTTGAGAAGTCGATGGGTGCTATCAAGGCGAGGATTCTTGTTCTTCCTAGCAAGACTGATCTTTACTTTCCGTAAGTGTTCTATGGAGGGAGGTGAATTGGGGGATAATGCTAATGAGTTTGTTTAGGCCTGAGGATTCGGAATATGAAGTCAAGTGTATGGGAAGTAATGCTGAACTTGATGTTTATCCTTCTATTTGGGGTCATTGGGCTGGTGGACCGCCTGGGAATATGGAGGATGTCAAGTGGTTGGATGAGAGATTGAGAAAGATTTTTGACGAGGCGCCAGTTCTCAACTAGTGTCTCTTGATCAGATGTGGTAGATATCGTAACCTAGTGTATTCCATGTTCTAGAACTTTCATGGTAGTATCCTCACTTCAATGTTCCTCGCCTAAACCTTCCATATCAACGCATCATCGGCAATTGATACACAACTCCTATCACGTGTCCCCCCAAAGATAACATGCCTCCAATTGTCCAATCATTCGCGATCAATTCATTCTTACATGTTCATGTCGAGACAAGGCGTGACTACACTGTACTAGATTACCCCAGCTTGTCAAATTAAGGCGGCTCTAGCTTGTTGCGCTAAGGCGGATTGTCATGACAAGGCGGGTTTTTCCCCACACCGCCCCTTGCCCAGGATGAAGGGTTGATCAGATGAGGAGTTTGAATCGATACTTGGTCCGTGATGTATTATCGGTATGTGAATTGTAAGGGGTGTTAAGAAAGGTAGAAAAGGTTTACGGTAGAGAGAGTGAAGACTGGTGGTCAAGGAGTGGTAGAAATATCTCTCAGAATCGATGGCTATAAGTGTTACTGTCACGACAGCTTCAAACAAAGAAAAGAACCCTGATATCACAATGACATCTGCCCCTCATCGCGGGGTAAAGATCCATAACACGGCCCCAACACCGAACAAACCGTTAGTTCCCCTCCAACCATCCACGAGACCATTTCCATTATCAATCCAGGGTATCATCGGCTATCTAAGTTCATTCTTTGTTCAAACAGGGCGTGGCCGGAACCTCTTCCGGCCACGATCCAAATTCCGGCCTCAATCTATATAGCAGAACCTTCTTCCCTCTACCATTTCCTCCGTTCAAGTCATCATCAAACCATTGACTACAAAATGGCAGCTGCAAACACCCTCTTCCCCTACCTCCGAAAGGACCCCTCTGAACTTCCAGAAGGCGAAGATCCATTCACCATCACAACCCGCACTGGCTATCTCCCCTTTTCTCTCCCTCTTACAAAACTCCCATCCCAATTCGATCCTGTTTCGAATCTTCTTGATGAGATTCCTATTCAGAAACAAGATGGTACGCCTGGTCTTTTGGCTACGTATGGACTTGGTGATGTTATCGACAATGGCGGTCTTCCTGATTTGACGCATGAGATTGATAATCTGGTCGTCAAGGGGACTGACAAAAAGGATATGGCTGCTATTACGGCTGCGTTTCGGGATTATAGCTTTATTGCTTCGAGTTATCTTCTTGAGCCGTGTTGGGAGCATTATTCTAAGAGTGATGATGGGGGGTATGGGCTTGGAAGATTTACTCTTCCTAAGTGTATCGCTGGTCCTCTCGTCAAGTGTGCCGAGATGTAAGTTCCTCTACCCATTGATCCAACATCCACTGACATTTCAGCCTCGACATCCCTGCCTTCATGTCCTACGCCGCTTCATACGCTCTCTACAACTACTATCTCGTCCACCCCGAACAAGGCCACGACGACTACAACAACCTCCGTCTCATCCGCGCCTTCGAAAAAGGTCTCGATCCCAAATCCTCTGAAGCAGGCTTCATCCTCACACACATCCACATGGTCGCCCAAACAGGCGGTCTCATCGAAGGAGCCGTAGACCTCCTCGCAGCAACCGAAAAAACAAACACCGCTGAAGCAAAGGCTAGTCTGGAACTTATCCTCAACGCCATGCAGATCATCGAAACAAACATGGAGGGAATGTGGAGTCAGTCTCTTCCCAAGGATTACATGACTTACCGAACTTTCATCTACGGTATTACCAAGCAGTCCATGTTTCCTGAGGGTGTGGTTTATGAGGGACAGTATGATGATAAGCCTCAGTTTTTCAGAGGTGAATCCGGTGCTAATGATGCGATTATTCCTCTTTTGGATCACATCTGCGAAGTCCCCATGCCCAAGAACCCATTGACGGAGATTCTCATTGAGTTCAGAGAATACAGACCCAAGCCTCACCGCGCATTTCTCAAATACGTCCGCGAAACAGCCGTCGACGTTGGGGTCCGAGATTTCCTCACAAAGTCCGGCGACATGGGTCTCGCAGTCTTGTATCTCCGTCTTCTGGATCACATTCGAAGTTTCAGATGGCGACACTGGATGTTTACCCGCGAGTACATCATCAAGCACACACTCCATCCCACAGCTACCGGTGGAAGTCCGATCATCACATGGCTACCCAACCAGCTCGGTGCCGTGATGGATCTGATGGAGGAGGTAGCCAAGGGATCTGGTCTTTGGGCAGTTTTGGAGGAGGGTGTTTGGAATGGAGGTGGTTCTTTGAGCCAGGAGGATTATATCTTGGTCAAGAAGATTATGGAGAATGTGGTGACCAAGAAGGCTCAGTTGACCAAGGAGGTTAACAAGTATTGCCAGGATCGGGGGGTCTAAATGTTATTGAGCAGATGCGTTGAATCGAAGTTTTGTAACAATTGAGGTGCACGAAGTGTGATTGTATGGAGTGATGATGTCTTTGATGGATCCTGGATCGTCTCTACTCGGGGTCTGCTAGTGACACATTTGGTGATAAAGATGCCTGAAATACCTACTTAATAAACTGGATCTTCTCAAGTCTCCGTTTTATACGACTATCCAACAATGGAGTCCATGGTGACGTCTTTTGGACCCTGTACATTCGCCGATATCGCGACATGTCAATGGAGTCTATGGAGTCGTCAATGAAGCTTGCGACGATATCTTACGCAGCCAGTAAAACGCGGATGTCGGTGGAGAGAACTCCAACCCCCACGGCATCCACTACCAGGATCATTGCCTATCTTATCAGCAACAGCCGATGATCCTGCCGCTTGCAAAATTTGCGCGCCAATAAACGTCGATCGCAAAACTACTCCAAATTTTCTCCAAAAATGAAGATCAAGTGACGTAAATTGGGAAAAAGTTGATGGATCAAAACATCCGATCAATCCATGACGTTGCATGTCAATCCCGGCACCTCCGCGGCCCGATTGGAATCACTGCAACAAACATTTGAGTAATAAATATCATATATATTTGTAATATACACTAAATCGCTAATAAAAACATTTCATTCGCTCGCTTAGGCGATGGGCTCGCAGGTAAAGACACCTCGGACTTCGCCATGGTGGAACTTGAGGATAATGTCATCAATGGAGGCGTAGGTTCCGCCGACGAGGACAATCATGCCGATCAGGAAGATGGCTCCGTTGGCGATGGCAAGAGGAAGGTTCTCCTTGGAGTACCATGATCCCTTGCGGATGAGCATGAACCACATGATGGCAGGGAAGTAAAAGGTGAAGCCTGAGATGAACAGAGACGAAGAGATGGAGAGGAGATCGTTGAAGAAGGGAATGGCCTCGGCGATGACGAATGCGACAATCGTGATGACGGTGACCAAGACCAACCAGCTGATCCATCCCATCTTGGTGTTGATGTAGCGGATGATGCTGTCCTTGAACATGCGACCGTGGATGTAACGTCCGACGACGGTGGTGTTGATGGAGCCGGAAATGAAGATGACGGGAAGGGCAACACCAAAGGCAATCTTGGAGATAAGAGGACCAGCGGAGAGAAGGGCAGGAGACTTGACATCCTGACCGACAAAGGCATAGATGAGGGCACCAGTAAGGGTGTAGATACCAATCTCAATAAGACCAAGAGCCCAGATAGACTTGACGTAGTCGCGAGGGGTGTGCATCTCATCCATGAAGCTGAACTGGCAGACAGCAAAGGAGTAGGCAAAGACAATGTTGGTGATGGCGATGAAGGCGTCGGTGAAGGAGAGGTCGTCCTTGGGCCAAGCTGACCAGTTGACGGAAGACATGCCGCCGACGGACTCGCTGGCTTGGATACCGGTGGCGATGATGGTGATGCCGACGGCGAGGATGATGGAGACAAAGTCGATGTAACCGAGGATAGCAACTTCAGCGAATGAAGGAGGGATAGCGACGATGAGGAGGATGATAGCGGAGACGACACCAAAGACGACAGAGCATGTTCCGTTGTCGGTGAGGTTGAGGAAGGCGATTGTTCCTGTCAAGCAGTGTGATCCGACGAGGAAGATGAGTTGAAGAGAAAACATGACACCGACAAGCTATAACAATTAGCACACATCATCATCAATTGAGCGTCAGTAAACATACCTCGTATCCAAACTTGCCAAACATGAGTCTACCAGCATCCGCATAGTGAGAAACCTCAGGATAAGCAAGCTTGACCTGACCAACAACATGCGAAGTGTAGATAGCCACGAATCCAAGACCGACGGTAAGAATAACACCAGCAACCATACCAAGAGTAGCAAAAGCAGAAGGAAGAGACAGACAGCCAAGAGCAATAGCCTCGACAATGAGAACGACTGTGAGTCTCTTCCAGCCTAGACGGTGGAAATGCGCGTTTCCTTCGGCGGCTTTTTGCTTCTCCATGTCGACGACAGCAGATTCGCCTGCGGCGTTGTCGAACATGTCGGGCACTGGTTCTTGGTGTTTCTTGCCGCCGTGGGAGGCTGTGGTGTTGATTTGGTCTGCCATTGTTGAAGTATGGAGTTGTATGAGGAGGTGGAGGAGGAGAGACAGAGAAGGGGGAGATGGGTTATAAAGAAACAAGACCAGAGATAAGAAGAGGGAGAAGAAACCGAGAATGAGGCCGATCTTTGTAGTTTGTCGTCAGTGGAGACAAGATACCGGTCCACAGAGTCTGGCCCAGTTTCTGTGACATGTTGAATCTCCTCATAGAGGATACTACCCCAGACCCCGATGCCCATTCCCCAGGTCATACCCACAGACGCATGGAACCATGGACAGGCAAGACAGACAAGTTTCTCTCTCGTAAATTGAAGCTCTATGCGGTGCCGAAACTCCGTGTCATGAGGCTCGAGCTTTGCTTTACATTACATAAAGTGGATCATGAAAGAGCCTCACCAAGCCTTTTGCTTGGCTGCAGCCCTGTTTGCATTAGTCAAGGAAAACTCCCCGATGGAGACGACTCGTCTCTCAACGTGTTTTTTTCTCTCTCCCCAGATATTTGACCCAAGATTCTCCGCAAAGAGGCGAGAGATTAGGTTGAGGAGTAGACTGCATGTTTTACGTGATGAAAACTGGTTCAAATGCGGAGAGACCAGAGTCAATGTTCATAGCGACTCGAGAGATGTTCAACTGCCGGATGTCTTCATGCCAAGGACTGTTTCTTGGCTGGTCGGATCCGTAAGAGTATCGCACGAGTCTGTACGTCAATCGCATCCGAAAAGATTTTTATCCGGCTTGGCCGACTCGTCTTTGCTTATCTTGGTCAAGACACCGCTTGAGAAATGTTCTCGAAGGGAGGACTAGCCAGGGGTGGGGACTGTTCAATTGGTTCGTGGGGATGAGAAGATAAAGGTTTGCAGGGGATGAGCACTTGTAAGCATGCATGGCAATGCACTGACCATGAGCGTTTTCTGCAAATAGCGTTAATGGTACGATGCAGAGGCGCGGCTAATCACTTGACTCGGGCGGGTGATTAGTGAGCGTGTTCTGTGAAAGCGCTGTATTGCAGGTGACTTGGCTGAACGCCGCTGACATGCCACTGAAAATTACTGATAGTTGGGTGAGTAACCGCTAAATTTAGCGGTCACCAGCCACTACATCACCATTGTAAACCTCATGCTCTCACTGTGATAACAGATGGAACGAGCTCTCAATTAACCTTCGGCATTCGGGGTCTCTTGCCTGATCAATGCATTACATCGCCTATCTAAAGGGTAAGGCCTATCTGTGATTACAATAACTAGATACAAATCAAATCCGTCATTAAAAAGTCTCGCATTGGTCAAGATGCATTTTTCTCTCGTAATATAACTGGGGACGAAAAAATTGTGCGTGAACAGACCAGGTAGATCTGCGAGTCAAGGTGTTCCGCAAACGGCCGACCCCGATATAAGCATGAAGAATTGGGGTTAGTGGTGGTTTGAGGGAAAGTAAGGATGGCTTCAAGCTAGGGATGGACCGCTAGAGGATCAATGATGAACAAGTTGGGGAAATGAGGAATTTTAACTTTTCTTCAGCTTTGTTGGTGAGGCGGCAGTTGAATGTTCGGTATAGCGGTTTGAGATGGGTATACAGGGGATTACTCGGTGGAGTTTGAGAGATGCCGATCAGCTGACGTAGGGTAGGTTGACGATGAGAATGGCAATGAAGTAGACAGCTTGTATCTGGCGTCAGATGGAGCAGTTATTGTAGTCTAATTTCTTTGTAATTATTTAGCTCTTATTTATGATGTTGTTCTTATGACATTGGTCGCGGATAAAGTGAGTAGTGAGAGTTGTAAGAGAACACATGGTGTTGACGTTGATCTCATATTTGGGTTTGGTGTTCTGTCACCACGTGTAATTGTTTTTCACCACCACTCACTCAATTGGCCATTAAATAAAGTCTTAAGACAGTAATTGAGGCTAAAACAAGATATCTGATGTAAAATAAGCTCCAACGCCCGTCAAACTTGATGACGCCTCATGCTTACCCCGACATCGCACATAAGGCTGAACCATGAACCCGGATCCCAACTACATCCACCAGTTCATGATCAACTGCATACAGGGACTCATGCACGGCTCTATCCGACTTGGCATCACTCGCCGACTAACGATATGCATATCGTGTGGATCAAACAAGCATCTGCGGTTATCACCGTGTTGTACGCCTTCTAACAATCTGAATAGTGGATCAACAAATTACTATTAATAAATCTAACGCTGGATATCATTTTCATCTCTCATAACACTCTCTTAAGCATTTTCCTCTCAAACATCTGGGCTTCCCATAACGACTTGTACAGGAACTACCAAATCAATCTTGACATCCCCCTCAAGAACAACCTTGACAGTATACGCTCGAGAGATAATACACGAGTGAAACGTTGGAACAAACATCTTATCCTCCGGTAGTGTGAACGGTACTTCGAGGGTCGCGGTGTGGAAAACTGGTGATGTCTTTGTAGACTGCATATCCAGATTCTGCGTCCATTGAATCTTGGTTTCGGTCTTGGGTAGAGAAACGGAAAAGGGATATCCAAAGTTGGCTACTTGTGAGCCCTGAGTTGGGAGTGCTCGCATTGGTTGATCGCGGAACCATGTATGGGACTGAATCTTCATAGACGCAGATGTAATTTGAGGAGGAATAACGTCTGCGGATGAAGGTTCAAAGGTAAAACTGATAGGAACAGACGATCCGCTAGCTTCATATCCTTCTTTGCTGAGATGGATAGCAGCAGGTTGAGCCGCTACAGCAGAGATTCGTCCTTGAGATGCAGAAAAGATATTCTTCTTGACCTTCTTCGACTTTTCAATCTTGTACAAGTCGTCTCGTTCGGTGATGTTCAGAGGTGGTTCTTCGAAGGATGTAGGAATGACGTTGATGCGGTGCAAGTTTCCGAGAGCAATGTTGTATCCATCTTTCGCGCGTGTGAGTACAAATGCTTTGATGCTGTATCCTACTCGTGCCATATCTGGTGCCATATCATCCTTTTCCCAGCCACGAAGAGTTGGTGGGAGGCACATGTGTCGTTCCCAGATATCTTCCGAGTTGGTCTTGTGCGTGCAGGCTTTCGATGTAAGATGTGCTGGAACGTTGAAGATGAAGGGAAATGTATATGTCGTTCCGGCGGAGAGGATTCGGGTGGTAGGATACTCGGATTCGTCGATGGGCATCTCAAGACGGAGGAAGCGATGGGTCGTCATGTGTGTCATATCAGGACCATCTCTTCTTGTTTCGCTCATTCCATCAAGAGAGATATCAACATGATCGAAACGAGTGTTTCTTGAAGGAGTGATACTGACCACCCCTGAGATTTCAGAGTTGGTAGTATAAACCTTGGAGTTAAAGTGACCGTTGATGGAAATCTGTACTTCAGCTTTTCTGGACATCTTTCCTTTTAGTGTAGATGCCAAAGAAGCAGCTCCTCCCCAGGGAGAACTTCCATTCTTATGAATACCGAGATATTCATACTCTGGAGGAGTCTGAGGAAGTTTGTCCAAATGGACAACAGAAGAGAAAGCTTTTTCAGTAAGAGACATGATTACTGAGAGATGGATATGAGACAATGATTTGATCGAAAAAGATAAGATGAAGACCAGTCTTATATATATAACATGTTCCTACGCCCTGTTGTGATTGACCCATGACTGCTCCATCTAGTTCGACAAGTACAAGTTGTAGGGCGCAGACACGGGATCCGACCCCGGATACTGTACTCACACGTCAAGTGCGTCATCTTTTAAGGTGAATTTTAATGAAAGACTATAGTCTAAGCTTATTCAGATTTAAGAGTCGAGGTTTATTTTCTGCTTATGGCCGTTTTATCCGATTGATAAGTTGATGTTTTATGTCGTGAATGTCCACAGTTTGTATCTTGACCCACTGTAGATGTTAACAACAGTGGAGTTTTGTACGTAAAAATCGAGTGATCTCCAGAAAATGTCAATTTTACAGTCTATAGAGTACAAAATACGTATTGCTACTGTGAACTTTCAACAGTGACTGTGAATGCGCAATATCAGGCCTCACTCTTACTTTGGTCTCACTGTTGTCGCATTTGTCAGATTTTGAACATTTACCCGTGTCTTACTCCAAAATCCGATAACGGACAAGAATTTGGAGAAGCTGAACACCTTCTATTGACATTTTTTGAGTCACCAGACAATTAAAAAAAAGCCACAACTATTAAGCGATTCTTCGGGACGTCAAACCAATACTCTAAAGGTAAGTTTTGACGGATTTCTCCATTATTAATCCACCAGCGCCCTCCCATGTCTTGTCGAATACGCCCTGTGATGTAGGTGAGGTCCAACGCCTGAGCGCCCTTTGATGGCGACATTGACATGCGCGGAATGCAAGGAATGCATGGAACTACCCGTAGAATAATGAAAGGGTTGGAGTAATTATGCATAGGGTGCAGAGTAATTGTGCAGACCTATGAACGCATGAATGCAGCCACAAGGGTGCATGTGAAAAGTCGTCTTATCTTATCCTTATCTTATCGTAAAAGTTTGCCCCGCGATGAACACCACAGAAATTATCACCAAAGCCAAACCCCACGCAAACAAATTCACCAGCCAAAATAAACCATGTCTTCAGAAACCCCCCTCAAGCCCATCCACAGCCTCGTTCTTGACACTGGCCCTCTTATCAAAAACGACCCTCCCGCAAACACCCTCCGCGCAAAAGCAGAACAACTCTACACCATCCCAGCCGTCGTTTCCGAAATTCGAGATGCCGCTACTCGAGCGCGCGTAGAGACTACTCTTCTCCCATTCATTACGCTCAGATCGCCGAATCCTGCGAGTGTCAAGGTTATTCGGGATTTTGCGAGACGGACTGGTGATTTGGCCGTTTTGTCAAAGCCGGATATTGATGTTCTTGCGCTGGGTTATGAACTTGAGTGTGAGAGGAATGGGGGTGATTGGAGATTGAGGAGTATGCCTGGGCAGAAGACTGTGAATGGAAAGAAGCCTTCTGATAACAAGCCTGCCGAGAACACCGAAGAGAAGACTGAGGAGAACACCGAGGAAAATGTTGAGGAGTCTTTGGAGAAGGCGGTCGAGAACTTGACTGTCGAGGACCCTGTCGCACAGCCTCTTGAGCAGCCTACAGTTGAAGAGCCTGTCCAACCCGCAGAGACCGTCGAGACCAAGGACGAAACACCCGCGTCTACAGAGACCACACAAACACCTGCGACAACCTCAGCCCCCTCCGCCACAGAAACCCTCGAACCCGCCAAAGAATCCGCTCCCCAAACATCCGGCGAAAAAGTTGACGAGTCAATCGACGCCGTGGAAGAAGCCTCCGACGGCGAAGCCTCCGACGACGAAGGCGGTTGGATCACACCCTCCAACCTAAAGAAGCACCAACACGCCTCCTCAGGCGCAGCACCTTCAGCGCCCGTCCAAAAGACTCTTCAAGCCGCAGTTCTCACATCCGATTACGCCATGCAAAACGTTGCTCTCCGAATGAACTTGAACCTTGTCGCGCCCTCGCTCGCGCGCATCACACATCTCAAGAACTGGGTTCTGCGCTGTCACGGCTGCTTCAAGATTACAAAGGAGATGGACAAGCAATTCTGTCCTTCTTGTGGTCAACCTACACTTAACCGAGTCAGTTGTTCAACAGACGAGCAAGGCAACTTTAAAGTTCATCTCAAGAAGAACTTTCAGTGGAATAACCGAGGAAACGTGTACAGCGTGCCCAAGCCAGTCCACGGTTCATCAAATGGACGACTAGCCAAGCACGCAGGTGGTCAGAACAATTGGGGCACGAATCTTATTCTCGCAGAGGATCAGAAGGAATTTACAAGGGCGGCTGACGAGCAGAGACGGCAGAAGAAGAAGGATATCATGGATCAGGATTATCTGCCTGATATTCTTACAGGTCATCGAGCTGGTGGTGGTGGAAAGATTCGTGTTGGAGCGGGACGAAATGTCAACTCCAAGAAGAAGCACTAAAAAAGTAAAGTACTAGAGTAGAAAAGATTTGATTTGAACACTGTTGTGTCTAACGCCCATGACCTCCGTAACGCCGTGATTGCTTGTCTTCTTGTGTTTCGAAGCTGCGATCCTCCAGTTTTCAGTCGATCTAACTAGTATTGTCTTGTCTTGTCTTCGATCGTGCGCATAGCCCGCCAGGCAAGTCAATTGTATGTGACTGTCGAGTCTTAACGAGTCGAGATTGAATCCGTAGAATGCGACCGTCGAGTCTGGGATACTATGCGATGTCGAATTTTCGATCGTTGTTGCAATTGCGAGAACGAGTTTATTCCTCCTCTGCAAACTGTCAGCGCTATTCAATGAAACCACATCCCAGATTACTCACTCTGCTGAGTCAAGAGAAGCTCAAATCGTCGCTTAAGAGTAACGCGCTGGCGCGACCACTTGTCATCGGGAGAGAAGCGCGCAGGGTGAGCAGACTTGGTGACCTGGCCATTGGCAACCTTCTTGAGGGTGTAAAGGCGGTTGCCTTGAGCGTCGAGAGTGTACATCAGATGCATTGCGGCGGTGTCTTGAGCGTAAAACGTGGAGAGATTGAGTGGTGGTGATGTTTTGCGGTGTTCTGCTTCTGGTGAAGCTTCTGTTTGCTTGGGACAGAATTTTTTGACGGGGCTGAGGTCACGTGCGAGGCTTATCGTTATCGGAGCTTGGACTGTGGATTTGGACGGTGGAGACTTTTGGTCATGTTGGGAGTGATGGATCGGCAATTAAACAGCAATTAAACATTCTGACAGTTGCAATGCTGTTCAATCGCATGTGTTTAGTCGTGATGGATCGATTTCTGTTCATTCACAGTGGCTTCAATTCGCAATGTTCAATGCAATATTCAACGCGATAAATAACATTCACTAGCTAAGGACAGACGCAGTTGGCTAATATCCAGATCCAAATCCCATCAAATCCTCCGATAAAACCGACGATCCTCCAAAACATCCTACCCAATATCCCTTGTTATGGGACATCACTTGGTAGGACTGATAGGCTCTCCAACTCGGGCAGTCTTGCTACCAGCCCATCCCTCACGCTCATAAAAGCGAAAGACAAGATCATAATCCTCGAAATCGTGAACGATCCGATCAATTCGTCGATATCCTCGAACAGGATCAACAAGGCGCTTGGCAGCCCAGTTGTTGCTCTCGTCATCGCCCATGCAGTATGGGTTCTGAGCAGCGCCCTTGGCTTCGAACAGAGTCACGCTAAAACGACCCGGCTTGAAGATCTCGACGACGTGTTCAATGATCTCGGTGGTGGTGCGTCCGCTCTGGCCGCCGGGAACGTTGGTCTCGAACGATGCGAACGAACACTGAGGCTCGGGGGTGACATGGACTGTAAAGTAATGCTCACCCTTGCTGCCTTCAACAGGAGGAACGACACCGTTGGCGGAAAAGCCGCAGGGGCTGAAAAGGTAGGCGTCGACGCGGGCATCGGGGTACTTGGATGTGGGGTACACGCTGGAGAGGCCGCAACTCTCCGAAACCACAGTTCCCAATGCGTGACCTTCGGTGGTGAGAGCCTCGACAGAATCAAGCATGTTGCTGTCGGGATCGTCATTGGCAAAGACGTCCACCTCGTCAACTGTCCCGCCAAGGCCACCGAGACTATCGATGGCTTCCTTGCGAGCATCCTTTGCCTCGGCAGCCATCTTGTCGCTGGCGACCGCACTCGCGTGCGACAGATAGAACTGCTTGGCGTTTTCAGGCTCAAGGTCCGTCATGAGGATTTCCAGAGTCTCGTCATGGTAGCTGCCGGGAGGAGCAGTGAATGGAGCTCCGACGGGGATGCGCCCGTCGATTTCGGACTCGGGAGTGCGAGGAGGGGTGAGGGCCTGCTGGTTGGGCGAGGTAAGGTACAGGTACCAGTGATCGCCGTTCATCTTGCCCACCATGTAGGCGCTGCCACCGTCAAACATGTCGTCGAGGTACTTGACCTCCTGCTTCCAGCTACGGTGAGGACCCTGCTGTTTCTCGGGGAACAAAAAGTTCTTGCGGCTGTAGAAGACGCGGTATGGGGTCGCAGCAGCTTGGATGTCGTCGGCCGAGTTGGCATTGTGGTAGGGGAAGCCGTACTTGGCAGCAATGTGAAGCATGCGCTGGAGACCGAGAAGAAGAGTGGTGGTTCCACAAGTCTTGAGAATGATCTTGTGAGGAAAGACAAACATGCTCGACTCGGAGAGGAGGTAAGCGTCCATGTTGTCGGACTCGAGGACCGACAAAACCTTGCAGTTGACCATGTCAAGCATGGGAACCCAGGTATCAGCTGGAACAGCCTTCAATCCATTGGCAGCAGCGGTAGGAGGCAGAGTCGAAGGACTAGGAGCGAACCAAACCTCTAGAAGCTTCTCAGGACCTTCGAAAGCGTTGGTAGAGTCGAGGTCGGCGGCCACATCGTGATTGATTGTCAGGTGAGGAGTGGCGGAAGCAGGCGAGAAGGTGCAGTTGTTTGGAACCGAAGTGGACAGCATTTTGGCGGCTTTTAGGTGTGTTCTTTGCCCAGATGGCGAAGTCCGCGGAGCACTAGCTGCCGCTCAAACAGACTATGCGGCGTCTGTTTGAGAGAGTAGGCCCACAGGAATGGGGACTTGTTCAGATGCTGGCGGAGCCAGCAGCAATCGATCGATGGGGTATAGCTAACGTCTCTCGAGGGGACGTTAAGGAGGGCGAGAGCAAAGGTTGTGGAAGTGCTCTAGTGGCGGAATTGTAGGTGGAATTGAGTTGAGTTTATATCGTAGCGGGTGCTATCGGGGCCTGTAGATGTTAGACGTTGAACCGTGAATCATGGTGATTGTCACCTACTTGGATGGTCGCGAGAATAGGAAGCGCAGAAGATCCGTCGGCCGCATAGAAAGCCCAGGAAATATACCGGTAGTAGTCTGACAGTCTTGACTGTCGATGTCTTGTAATTAGATCCGTTTATTCGACATTTAACTTGAGTCGCGTGAGGTTTGAGTGAGGTTTTTTCGCGATGACGATGCTCGAGTTTTTTGCCACGAGCAGCGACGGTTAAAAAGTCTGGGGTAGAAAAGGCACAAAGCAAACAGATCAGCGAGATTTGTTTGTTTTGTTAAAGAGGAATCTCTTGCGGTGAGAGAATTTTGGGTCTCTTGTTTAATTTTTTTTTACGAGAGGGGCTGGGTTAGGTGGGTTGGGTTTGGGCTTTTTCTTCCGCGTCTTTCTAAATTTTCTGATGGTTGACTGTGATCCCGATCCAATGCAATGTGCTAAGGTCTCAATCAGGCGGTGCTTCCCTTGCAACGGAAACACAGCCCGGTCAGGTCAGATACTACTGTACTTATATCATGGTTACAGTTTAGTGAGGTACAAGGTTCTCAAAGAGTACTGTGCTTTGAGCGTGTACCAACGGGATGATTCCCCGAAGCCTTGTAACCTGGTTTTTGATTGATGTCTTGACGCCTAAAGGAGGTGAATGCATGATAATTTTCGGTCTCAGCATGCAAAAATCCCACCGACGCTGAACCTGTTTTGGGATGTTACAGACAACGTTATGACTGGGTTGGCAAAAGACTTTTTGGTGGGGGCAAGGGCTAGAATCCTTGTATGGCTTGGGTTTGGCCACAGGTATTTCGTCATTGTAGTTGGAATGGTAGACTGTTGGGTTAGACTGTCGGGTAGCTACGAGTAGTTCAGTCTAGACCAGGAGTAAGCAAGACATTCGTAACCTGAATGTAGCTGTTGTGGTGACGGTAACTGTTTCTCACATGCAATGTCTGTTCCCGGTACAGCTGTTGCAGAGCTGTTGCATGCGTGGCAGCCGTGGCTTGACAAACGCTGACATTCACAAACCCGGCATTCGGTTCGTCGCTCCGTACTCTCTCATGTGGATCAATTCTAACCGGCCACATTAACCAACACCTTGTCCGTAATATCCTTAAACACGTGAAATAGTGAACAATCCCGGTACTTGTCCACCAAGTTCCCTTCCCCTTCACCGTCTTGCGACTCTGTTTGCGAAATATCCTTCCCTCCGATTGTCGTACCAGACGGGTATGTCGGACGTCTTCCCTCTTCCAACAACGCGATAAACTGCGCATCCATCGGTACACTTCCCAAAAATGGAACGTTGAACTCTTCGGCCATTGACTTTCCTCCCCCGGATCCAAAAATGTCGGTGCACTCGGAACAGTGCGGGCAGACGTAACCGCTCATGTTTTCCACCACTCCCAAAACGCGAATGTTTGTCTTTGTGCAGAAATTAAGTTCTTTTCGTACGTCGGCTGTGGCTACTGCTTGTGGTGTTGTGACGACCACTGCGCCCGCGACTTGTCCTGGTGTCGCATCTTTCTGGAGGGTCTCTGCGAGTGAAATGTGTTCGTCGCTTGTTCCTGGTGGTGTATCGATGAGTAGATAATCCGTTTCATCCCAGAGGACGTCCTTTAAGAATTGTCGGATCATGGCTGTCTTTTTGGGTCCTCTCCATACAACAGCGTCACCTCTTGCGGGGAGTAAAAATCCCAAACTCATGGCATGTAGACTTCCGAGGCCTTTTGACTCATCGCCTTCGTGGACGAGTACTGGTGCCCAGCCTCCAGGAACTTGAGTGACCTTGGATGCTTCAATTGAGAGCATGCGTGGAATTGAGGGGCCGGTGAGATCAACATCGAGAATACCGACAGAATGACCTTGAGATGCAAGCGACAATGCTAATTGTGTTGTAACTGAAGATTTGCCTACTCCTCCTTTGCCTGAGAGGACCTGAAGGTGTCAGTGGTGACCATAGGGTAGATGAGCGACAAGCTTACCAGGACGACCTTTTTGACTTTTCCAAGGCCCATGTCGATGTTTCTGAGTGTCGAATATGATGTCGCGAGCGTTGAGAGGAGTGAATACAAGCAAGCGCACCTGAAATGGATGAGGCAAGAATTGGATATCGCCTTCTCTTGATTAGAAAGCCATTTACTAAGCTGTTGAAGAGATTGGCGGGAGCATGACGATGAGGGGCACACCCCGCTATCGATAGCATTGAACAACTCCGTAGTCGGCAAGAACCTTCTGTAACTACACCAAATTTGGAAGGCTCCAGTGGACGAGTCTAGAAGGGTCTTTTTAGAGGTCTAGAAGATCACCAAAAGAAGCATCTCAATTCTCAAACATTCACAGATCTTAAATCAATCGGTTTCATCTTATCTTTAATCGGTTCATCGCATTTCAAATCTAACTATCGCAAAATCATCGCATCTATTATGGCAAATGCCCCCAGGGTATCTCATCCAGTATCATGATCAAAGCCACTTTTCCGACCGTCCAATATCCAAACGCGCCGTCAAGTCGCCCATGCCACTGACCTTTTTTCCCAAGGCATTTCCTTGCCAACCAGTCCTATATCAAACCGAAACTCCTTTTTTCCAAAGATAAGAGACAAGAAAAGTGATGACTCAAAAAAAAAAGGGGATAAAAAAGAAAAACACAGCCAAGGATCAATACGTCAAAGCGCATAACTCCCTGCTCTTGGCACCTAACACACCCCTGCAAAAACAGGCATCTTATCTCATGCTAGGTTGTTTGTGAGACCAAACTGTTTCTCAACGACTCGTTATTGTTATCTGTGCGTGAGTTGAGGCTCAAACGCGCGTTCAGCTCATCGACTACCCTTGCGATAAGGAGATGCCGAAGGGGGAACTTGAGCTGGGGAATCCATCAGAAATTGAATGGATTGCCGTGTGCACATGACAATAGGCTTGCTTTGGGGACAGTAGCCCAATAGTTGAGCATGCTCGGGAAGAGTCTCGGGGACGGCATCGATGAAGCGAATAATAGGCCCGCCGTCAAAGGTGAGACCGATTACTTGAGCTTTGTAGTCGTCTCCTCCGTCGGATTCCTCATCGGGGTTGACCGAGATTGTGTTACTGTCTTGTGTTAGTTGAGAAGTGCTACACGAGTAACGGGTGGCTTACGCTTGACTCATTGGAGGACCCATGGCGTCGTCAAAGTCACTCTTACGGCGCTGACGATTCTTGATGCGCTTCTTTGCGCAGTCGTGGAAGAGATGAAGAAAACCGGCGATGACTAGGACTGGTGTTCCTAGTGCGAGTGCCCAGGGTCTAAGATGTTTGTTAGTGTGGACAAGGGTAAGACCGGGGATAGGATGACTTACGGATGCTGTCGACCCCGAAGGGTATGTGCGAGAGCAAGGATGATACCAATCATGGCAATCAAAGATCCTACTTGGATCATAGTCCATGTAGACCAGTAAAGAGAAATAAGATCTTCTCCATCGCAAAATTGGAGAGCAAGAATGCAATACGCCTCCATGACGACGATGACGGTAGAGACAGAGACACACCCAAGACACATCCAAACAGATTGCCGGATACGTTTCGTTCGGGCTTTAGGATTATGAGCAAGCTTCTCACCAGCTGCTTGTGCACTATTACTGTTAGATAAAATACAGAAATCAAAGATACAAGTTGGCATACCGGATATATGTCCAGGAAGCAATAAACAAGACTAACAAATTGGACACAAACATGGTCCAGTAGATAATCTTGAACTCCCATCGCACCATATGAGATGCAAAGCTAGCATATTGCCGACAAAGCTCAGGGTTAGGCTCTTGTCGAGTAAAGAGAGTAGTCATCTTGAAAGAATGGATGTTTGATAATAGAGAAAAGAAGAAAAAGCCTAGAACGGATGGAAGTACTGGGGGTCCTTATACCTGGAGCCGGTATCTCCAGTGAATCTGAGACTAAGATATGGGAGACACAGACCCGCCCATTGCCTTGGTAGACGCGCAATTCCACATCTTGGTGTTGCCTGCCAAGAACGCCCAAGAACGACGATCACCCTTGAAGCTGTGAGTGGATAGGAAGTCTAGTGTGGTGTTTGCTTGTCACTGTTAGACTCAACCCTCCGTCTTAGTTTACTGAACAAGGGGTAGATAAGGGGGTGCGTTGGGCCACGAGGTTAAGAGTCTGAGCTGATTGGGTCCAAGATTAAGAGATCTTAGATTTGTTACACTTAATGAGATCGGGCAGCTACATACGGGAGGACCCCTTGCTTCAGAATAAATTGAATGCTCAGCTTTACGATAGATAATAATCTCTGCCAAGGGTTGCTTTACGACAGTCATTAAGCTATGGCTTATTCCTGCCAAGGTTGTAGTGAACAAAGCTTCAATGCCAAGCTTGATGTTGGAGAATGTTGAGGCAACAGGTACGTACGTATCAAAACTACTGTATAATATGGGTCAAACAAAAGTGTATAATAGGTCAATAAATGGTCCATTGAGGCTGTGTGCCAAGCCGGGGCAGTCACTAGTGTCTCCCTCTCCGGAGCCTCAGACTACCTAATCTCTTCCGCGGGAACAATCTCTCCAATCTGGGGTGTGTTTTCTGGGGTCCCTGGACAATATCACTGCCCGATAAGAACCCAACGACTCGGTTAAGCCCAGTAATTAAACTATTTTGCTTTTTTAAATGATAAAAACACATGAAACGTTTCTTCATTCATCACTGTGACTGGCATGTGCTTTGTTACCCAGGGATGAGAAAAGAGGCAGCCAAGGTGAAAACTCTGTATGACGGATGCGACACATTTCAATTGTGTCACCTCAACAATGTTCAACTTTGGACCCCAATTCTATTCCATCAATGCCGATCTCCAGCCAAGAACAGCCTTTCCCGCCCGCAAAGGGTGGAGTCTACGGCACTTGACCGCCACCAAGGGATACTCTTTCAAGAATTCAATCTAGACTCGCTCTCAGCTAGCCTGAAAATGACATTCATTCACTGGTTGGTTGGGTCTCCATGATCTACCTCTCACTACGACACTGCCCTGACGACTGCTTTCGGGGTTATTCGACGTCAACTACGACTATTATCGCCAAGCGTTGCGCAAACGTACAACGTCGCGGCGTATTCCACGGAGTCCGAGCACATAACATAAGCGGAAAGCCTCTTTTGTGATGACTGCCGGTTCCAGATTAATTCAACTTTAACCTTATCAATTGTGTCACCAACGGCTGCTAGGCATGTGAATTCTTGCATTCCATGTCGTCACTGTGTCCCCTTATCAGGATCGTCGTCAATCCCACTTATCCTCTATAGCGGCGGCAGAGTAGCGCTGTTTTAGTGACGAGTCAGCAATGTCGATCACAGTGGCTGTGTTGATCAAACCTCTTGAGTCATTGACGCGTCTGAGACATTGATAATGACAATGATTAAGCTTATCTTGAATTGAATCGTGAATCTAGATGTGGCTGTAGATCGCGTCATTGCAGATGTAGATTGGATATAACATCTTCCGAGATCGATCGTCAAGGTTAGGTTAGCTTAGGCTGGCGTGTAAGAGGCTATGTTCTTGATTCACTGTGATACAGAACCATGTTCTGAGTGACATTGTGAGACTGTGCACGGGTTCACGAGTTTCAAACAGATAAGATGCGATTGAATTGACGAACAGATAAATATAGATGTTTCCATACAGATCCATACATTGAAACGCGGAGAATTTCAAACTCTGATGTAAGCTTATTTTTGAGTGTAGATAGGGATACAGCATAGACCCACGAGTCACCGCTGTTTCAACTGAACTAGACAATGATCGTCAGAACTCGATGGGCAAATGGATCCTTTCTCCACGATGATCTCGGACCTCAGAAGTAGCCAGTCACCTGACACTTTGTGAACACTGCCAAGTCTTGGTGATATCAAAGCGTGGGCGAAGTGAATTGAAGCGTGACTTGAAGTTTTGTGTAATGGAGATGTCTCAGGCAATGTAGATCAATATTTCCCGTGTGTGGTGGAGTCGAGGGATGATATCCTAAAGTTTCTTGAACCGATGATTTTCCGCATGGATCACAGAGGTTCCTTGCTTCCGATCACATACTCCGGACGTGATACGTTCGTTTCCGAACCTATGACCCAGACGGGATGCTGAAGTTCCGAGATCATCTAGGACCTCCCAGAATAAGCCAACTCTGCCACCTTTCTTGCAGCAACGTCACGTCCCTTTTCGCTGGCTTGAATGTTGTTTCCCAATTCTCTAGCCTTCTGTCGCATAGCCACACTGGCTTCTCCACCATCGAGAACCTTCATGAACGCTTGAGTGAGATCTTCGACTGTCCAGTTCGGACTTGTGCTCGGACATGCCCATACTCCGACCCCGATAGTTTCCGCCAGGGCTGCATAGTTGTAACAATCTGCCCACATAGGAAGAACGACGTGGGGGACTCCAGCACTACAGGGGTTAGCATGAATTGACTGTGGAATGGGAAACTTACTAGACTGCTTCGTTGTAACAGTTGGCTCCTCCGTGATGGATAGATGCAGAGATGAGTCCTGATTCGAGGAGAGCCGTGGGATCGACGGTGAGCCACCTCTCCAACTTCAAACGACCGCTCTCGAGGTGTTGCTTGACTGGGAGAAAGACGTCATCCGAGTACTCTCCAACCTTGTTGAATTTCCAGAGGAATTGAATATCAACTTTGTCGAGGACATTGGCAAGTGCCTGTGCCATGATTGCTGCTCGAGATTCAGAGTACTATTTCGTCAGCATTGACCAAGCATCAGACGGAAAAGATCAAATTCGGGTGAAAACTTACAGCAACTGTGCTACCCAGGTTGACCAAGACTGTTGGCTTCTTCTTCAACCATTCGACCAGCTGAGGATCCTGCTCTTCAGCCGGAGCCACCGAGAGAACAATCGGGTTGGTGATGGTGACATTCGACGGGATGTAATCAACTGGAATGGATGCTCCCTCGGCAGTGACGGTGATCCACGGAACATCATCGCGGTAGATGCCGAAGAAGTTGATTGGATCCTTAAGACCCTTCTCGCGGAGAGCCTTTCGCTTGCTGACGACATCAGGCATTCTCAAAACAGCATAGATGAAGCGCATGTTGAGGTAAATGTTTTCCGGAATCTTTTTCCAAGGCACCGGAAACGGGAGACCTGAGCTCATACTGATTTGTTAGTGGCACAATGTCTCACTCAGATTCATAGTCCAACTCACGACGGATATTTCCAAAACATGCTTCCATACGGTTGATCTCCAAGGAAGTTGTCAACAGCTTGATTCGGCGTGATAACAACATGCTGTCGATTCTTGTCCCTCGTGATATCAAGTCCTGGTCGGAACAAAGTATCAATGACAACCACAGCAGGGTCAATTTCATCGATGAAAGTGCTTATCTCCTCATAGATGGAAAAGTGCTCCTCGGCAGACCACGGAGAAATCCAAAGTTGCATATCCCTGCACAAAACGGAGATTCCGGCTGGACCCGGAGGATGCGGAACATCGTCGAGACTTCTGCCGGCGTTGAGGATGACCTCCGCATACGCCGGACTTTTGAGTTGATGGAAAGTGATCCCGCGAGATGAAGGCGTCTTTCGTTGAGCGAATTCCGATACTCGTTGGAGCTTCTTCTTGAGTTTCGGGAACGACACAAAGTGTACATCAATATCAGGATATTGCTCAAGCAAAGCCGAAGCCGTTGCAACGTGGACGTTTGATACACCGTGTTCTTGATTCACTAGAAATAACGCAGTGCCGTTCCTTCCCTTGACAAACGGTGGATGCACTTCTGTCTGCTGAGGAAAGAACAATGCGACAAGTGCAACCAGCACTGTCCCGAGGACCAAAATTCGAGTAAACATGATGATGGTTGATGTGAAGTGAGGAACGGAAGGAGGATCCGTGCTTTTTTGTAATCTTAATGCGAATACGAAGGACCCTTGTTGCACTTGCAACGTATACCCACATATCGTCAGCCCTAACGATGGACCATGCCTGTATGAGGTGAATGCATGTCGGCAATTGGTGAGTTCAATTGGGATGGGGGGATAAGTGCATGGAAACGGCAGGATTGTCGTGAGCAATTGAACGTTAGTGGTTGTTTTGAGTGATCCTTGATATCCCGGTGAGGTTGGCCATTCATTCGCCATTGGTTGACGTGAGTTGTAATCCAGAAACTGTTGAACTTTGTTCAGGCTTGGGCTTCGCGGTTATCAAGTGGCGTTGTGATGGAAGAGGCTTCGTTCAAGTGAAACGTTGACGGTGTTGAAGGCCAGATTGGGGATCCGAGGCTGTTCTCGTGGACAATAGATTGAAGGTTATTCGTGTCGGACTGTTTGAGTGCTGTCAAAGCTTCGGTGAGGGATCCTTCGAAGTGATAGTGATTATGTACGGGATGGCTTGCCCGACAAACGATACCATCAAACGTGATAATAACTGGCCGTTACTATCAGTAAACCAATTCGCCTCACCTAGCTATAAGCAATCGCATAAAGATAGATTTTCTCCCTCGAGATTCATGCATATTTTGATATGATATTTCAATCATACACTTGATATTACTCTAGATATTATTTGAATAACCAATGTAATAATTGTACTTGATATAAATATTGATGATTGCGATAGTCTTATAAGACGACAACACTTCGGTGGATAACAAACCTCTCACTTTTCGCCCTTGACTACTGTTTCCTCCACATCGCCTGCTATATCCTCAGGCTTATACTTGCCAAACTTGCGAAGCGCAATACCCTCATTAAACATACGATCAATTTGCTCAAGTGACTTCCCCTTACACTCAGGAACGCAAAACACCACAAAAACAATAGCCAACGCAAGAATCCCAGCAAAGACAAACCCAACCTTGGATCCCAGGCCACCGTACTGATCGTACAGCATATAAGGAATGCTGAAGCTAACAAGAAAATTGGCTGCCACGTTGACGATGGAGGCTGTTCGCTGCGATGCGTCACGGAGACGGAGAGCTGGAATCTCGGTCGTGATGACATAGTTGAGTGGTGCAAATGCAAACGTGAAGCCGGAGCCGAAGAGCGTGAGCATGGCTACGATGCCGGATTTGACGCCGAATGAGGGGTTTGGTACTGTTCCTAGGGCGCCCATCGTTATGATTGCTGCGAACATCCATCCTGCACTAGTCAATAATAGAGGGCTACATAAATTAGCAATATTCTCAACCTTGTGAAGAAGACTTACCGTCGTCCAGCTCGATCAACAAGGTACAGACCAGCAAACGCAGAACAGAGGTTGACGATGGCATTGACAATAGTCATGGTAAACGGATTAACGGTTCCAATGTCGCGGATAAAAATAGCTCCATATGTAGAGGCAAACGCTTGACCGGTGGCTTGCTGGAAAAAGTTTATGGCGACAACGATGGCTGTTCGTTTGAGGTTCTTTCCTTGGAATAGCTCAAAGTAGTTTCCCTGCTCTGGTTCATGTTCCAACGCATATTGGAGCGTGGCGAATTGCTCGTCGATTTCGGCTTCGGTTTGTTTTCCTTCTCGGAGTTTGCCGAGGGCTGCTCGTGCTTCTTCGGTTCGATCTTTGGTGAGTAACCATCGTGGAGACTATTTGGTTAGTTGATGAGTTCAAGTGGATGATGTGGTAGATGTACCTCTGGAATGAAGAAGATGGCGCACATGACAAAGACTGGAACGATAAAGAAGAGGCCGAAGGGGATACGGAATGAGAGGTTGCCGGATAGAGTGCTTGTGCCTCTGCAGACACACGCGACAATGAGAGTACCAGACTGATGAATGTTAGATGGTGAGAAAAATGTAGGAAGAAACTTTACCATCAAGCTGAACTGGTACGAGCCAACAGCAAATCCACGAATTTCGCGAGGCATAATCTCGGATTGGTAAACAGGGACGACAGCGAGTTCCATACCAATATAGATATCTGGTGTATCGTCAGTTAACATCACTAATAACAGAGCCAGGGCGTACTTACAGTTGAGGATTCTGGTGGCCATGATCTGATCCTTGGTGACAGAAGTCACAGCCATAACAGCAGGCACCAAAGCCCAAGCACTCATACCAAACATACACCATCGTCTCCCCCAGCGCTCACTGACAAGACTGCCAATGATAACACCAGCACCGAAACCGATATAGTTTAAACTGTTGAACAGGGACAGCCACGAAGGAGGGATACTGTACTTGCCAGCGTCGGCATCCCATTCGCCGAATTGGGTCTGGAATGCTTCCATGGCTTGGGTGTTGTTGTAGGCTGCATTGTCGAAACCGTAGTTGAACGTCGAGACGGCTATGACTGCGAATGCTATGCCGAGATGACGATTGAAGTGTTTTAGAATTCTGTTGTTGGACAACATTGTTGCGTTGGAGAGGAGTTGATGTCTGGACAATTGAGGCTGGGGTGATGCTAGATATACCCAGTCAGTAACATCCTCCCCCGCAAAATTTGAGTATCACGAGCTACGCCAAACAACAAGGTAAATACGTTCGAGATCATGGTCTTGGCTTGACTTCTCCTGATTTTCCCCACGGATGAAAAACTAAGGTTCTGGGGTATGTGGAGTAACGTTGGTTAGTGCATCCCGGACTCGGAAGTCGGGGGGAATTGATGCCGCGAGTTAAGGTCTTGGTCTAAAGTTCTTTCTCCTCTTTCTCCGCCCGACTTCCATTCTTCTGAAGACGCGACAACACAATGCCTGATCAGAGAACCCGTACCCGCATCGGCAAAACATCCGGGATATGTGCTCAATGTCGGAACCGCAAGGTATGCCTACACTTAATTCTCCATCGAACCATAGTCTGATTGGTATCCAGGTAGCATGCGATGGAGACCCTCGAGGCTGTGAGAATTGCAAACGGCTCAAGTTTACATGCTCTCTACTGTCGTCTGACGGAACCCTCGAAATACTGGAGAGAAGACGAGTATCGCGAGCGTGTATTCGTTGCAAGGATCGAAAATTAAAGTGTTCTGGTAAAAGACCGACATGTTCGAGATGTTTGGATCGGGGCATTGAGTGCCACTATCCGACAACACCAGCGTCGAGGCAATCGCATCAGGCCGAAACGTCGGACTCCTCCGGCTTTGTATCCCCTGTCGGAGACTCAAGAGCCGTCGGAAATGGCAACACACCAACTCAAGCTCGTGTACAGGCTACCGAATCATCCGCATCATTGCCGATGCCTCAACAATTACTACAGTATGCTTCCCCCAAGCTTCATGAATGCAATCTTATTCAAATCAGGAACAAACAAACAGTCAAACAACATATCGACGCCTACTTTGATCTCGTCCACCCAATCCCATGCTACGGGTTCCTCCATCGAGCAACACTTCTCCAATCATGGTCCAAGAATGAAATCAACCCATGTCTTTTGCTAGCAATATGCGGCATAACATCTCGCTTCATAGACCCAAGCAATCGCAACACAGGAAGAAAATGGATTCAAGATGCAGAGTCTCGTCTCCTGCAGAAACTCGCCCATCCACAAATATCAGATGTAGAAGCTTGGCTTCTTGTTACGCTGGATCATTACCTTTCTCAACGCGTTAGTAAAATGCTTGTGGCTATGGCTCTGACTTCTAGACTTGCTCATATTTTAAGACTTAATCATGAGGATCCTCGACTGGGATTTCTGGTACAAGAGCGTAGACGAAGGTTGATGTGGGCTATTTATATCATGGACTCGCTGTACTCGAGTGGAAAGGCGGAATTCACGGCTTGTACTCCTGAGACTCTCCATATCAGACTGCCGTGTAACGAAAAGTCGTTTTCCATGGATCTGCCAGTTACCACTGAACCACTTCACCAACCTTCACAGTCTGATACAGCAGGTATAGGCCTCCTGGGCTACTGCATCCGAGTGCTAGACATTCGCAATCGCGTACAAAGGTACCAACATTGTATCTTTTTAGGCGTACAAGCTGACTTTATAGACTTACTCTTACGATTACCAACCACCGAAAACCGATAGAAGAATGTCTTCTCGCTGTTGAGTCCATTGAAAACGAACTACGCCAATTTTCTGCTTCGTTGCCAGCTCGCTATCACCTAGACAGAACATCATTCTCACTCCGCGCATTCTCACCCTCACGTACACCATTCCTAATGCTGCATGCATGGTATCACCAAACGCACTGCGATCTTTTCCGCTTCACCATCCCCGGATTCCGCGAAGGCCTTCCCGCGTCGGAGATCCTAAATCTGTCACCCGAGTTCACAGCGTCTTGTCGGGAAAAGTGTCTCTCCCACGCTATTTCCGTTTCAAAAATCCTTGAAATTCCAAAACTTGTGGGAAGTTCTGAACTCATCAGCGATCCGTCAATGGCGATGTGTGCATTTCACTCTGCGAGAATTATATCAAGACTTGGACAGTATCCTATGGGTAATATGCCACAGATGGACTTGGTAGCCAGACTGACTGCCTGTTCGGAAGCGTTGGGAGAACAAGCTACGATCTTGCCCACGACAGCGATATTATTGAAGGGTATAAATGATTTGTTGAATGATGCGCAGAGGAATAGAGATGGACCATCGATCTGGGATGAGGAAGAATCAGAAAGCAACAGATTTTCAAGACCGCAAGTTAGAGAGGTCTTTTCCAAGCACAGTGTTACAGACGTTGTTCAGAATTTGAACTTTCAAGAAGAACAAGATGGTATATCGGAAGCTGATGTAACATTCTCCAACTCGTCTGTGGCGGCTACCTCGGACTTTGTTCCCGTCAACGTTACGTCCGGGGTCATGGAATCAGAGGTAACCGACTTTGACGGGTATTTTGGAGATGTAGAGCCTCAAGACAGTCTCTGGGCCATCGGACTTCACAGCCAGTATGGATCTGGGCAACCGGATGTGTTTATGGACTCGTTTTGGCCTCTGGACTGGACCATGCCAGATGTGGATACGTTTTAAAGATACGGGTGTACTTGTTTCAACGATACTAAAACTGCAATTATATACGCTGCGATGATTCATGCTCCGCTCCAATACATGTCCTGCTCTACAACAAAGCTAGCTTTCGAACTTCCGCTCGAACTCACAACAGAAGCCATATATGTCCCCGCTTCACACAACCAACTATCCGCCATCTCATCCCACACCGCGGTGCTGTATTTGTCTAGCGTCATAGTAACCGGGGACACCTGATCCGGATCAAGAAACACCTTATGAAAACCGACTAGTGTTCGAACAGGCCGTAGGAATCTCGACTTTTTGCCCGACTTGGTTTCGTCAAAGGAGACGTAGAGCATGAGCACCTCAGCACCAGTCACACAGCCTGTATTCTTGACGTCGACTCGTATATCACTGTCTGTTATTCGGATATTGGATGTAGAGAAGGTAGTATAGCTAAGTCCGTGGCTTGGAAGTGTTAGTAAATGAATGGGAATCGGGGAGATGACTTACCCAAACGGAAAAGCTACTTCGATATCCCGAGCTTCAAACCAGCGGTGCCCAACGAATACATCTTCAGCATAGTAGATCCTACCATTATCACTACCGAAACTCAAAAAGGTTGGTCCGTCTTGGAGTCGGCTTGGAAAAGTCATTGGAAGCTTTCCACTCGGATTGACTTTGCCAAATATGACATCCGCGACGGCATTGCCCGCCTCGTTCCCGCCATACCAACTGTGAAGGATAGTCTTGGCTTGATGGCGCCATGGCATCGCGATAGGATTCCCAGCTTGAGTTATCACAATGGCGTTGGGCTGGGCTTCTAAGACGGCTGATACGAGGTCGTCGACGTGAGGTGGTAAGGACATTGACTCTCGGTCTTTGCCCTCTTTTTCTAAATCTGCATTGAGACCGACGACGACGAATGTGTGTTTACACTTTTTTGCTGCTGCGACTGCTCGTTTGATACCCTCGGCTGGTTCGAATTTGAGACAGCCACCAAGACGACAGGCTCCTCCAGGGATCGGGATGAATGAGCCTCCACTCGTCCTTGATGTCGACGCACTACCGGATTCGACTCGTAGGTGATAGCTCTGGTCTGACTTCATCTTGTACGTCCCACGTACTTCTGTAGACCCATGCCCAAAGAACATCCCACCGTGGGTCTGCGTTGTCTCGTTATCAATAACAAGATTGTCGTTGATGTACAATTTTGAGATGCCATAGCTGGCAAGGCTAAATTCATATAATCCATCAATCTCGGGTTTGAAGTTGGCTTTCATTGACATGTAAAATGTTTCGCCTTGGTCTGGGTGGTTGTAGTCCATGAGCTGGTAAGTCGTATCCGGTATGGTTTGTTGATCGAAAGGCTTTCTGCCCTGAACAGATTCCGGTTCGTTGAAGAAAGAGATGGAAACACCTCGATTGCCGTCTTCGTCGGTGACATGATCTTCAGTAAAGCATGGAGGCAAAACGTGTCCAGAAACGCCAGGCTCAAAGTGGACTTTTGCATTCGGGGGTAATTGGTCTCGAATACCTTGAAAGACCGAGCTTGTATAGTATGGCCGGAGGTTGGCACTCCCTCCACCACAGGTACTGGGAAGCTTGGCGTTTGCTCCTATTATAGCTACATCGTCGCAATCTTCAGCTTGAAGTGGCAGGATGTTACTTGAGTTCTTGAGAAGGACGACACTTTCAGTAGCTAGGCGTCTGTTGAGAGCTCGATCATCTGGCGAGTCTCGAGTCGTCTCTTTTGTCGATACTCGTGCTGCTGCCACGTTGTTGACCAGTTCGAGAACCTTTCTTGCTCGATCGTCTATTGTCTTTCTACTCACCTTTCCCGAGACAACTGCTACTATAGCTTTGTCGGCACGATGTCTGGAAGGGCCAGGCATTTCGATATCAACACCGGCGTTGAGAGCATCAGTACAGCCATATGTACCGTACCTAGTTTCGTTAGTTGACCATCAGAATCAGGATAATATTCTTACCAATCACTCATTACCAGCCCATCGTAACACCATTCCCCTCGCAAAATATCTTGCAAAAGTTTCCTGCTCTCAGAAACATGAACTCCATTGACTTTATTGTATGAAGACATGACGACCTTTGGCTTGGCATCTCGCACCGCCATCTGAAAAGGTTTGAGATAAACTTCCCGCAGTGCCCTTTCTGACATGCAGATATCGGTTGACATCTTGGCTGTTTCTTGATCGTTGGCGACAAAATGCTTCAACGCTGCCGCTGTACCTCGGCTTTGCACTCCCTTGATGATAGCCGTAGCCAACACTCCACTCAGATGAGGATCTTCAGAGAAACTCTCGAATCCGCGACCGTTGAGAGGGCCTCGAACAAGGTTGACTGTCGGACCTAGCCATACATGGGCGCCTTTTGCTTCGCATTCTCTTGAGAGAAGCTGACCTGCTGCGTAGAGAAGTTCTGGGTTCCATGTTCCACCGAGGCCAGTTCCGCAGGGTATGCATAGTGCTGGTACTGGATTGAAGAATCGACCTCCACGAGCACCATTGGGACCGTCGGTGCATTTGATAGAAGAGATTCCATGAGAGGGTATAGCGGCAGAATGCCAAAAGTCGGAGCCTCGTGATTGTCAGTGGAGTAAGAAATGCTCAAGACTTTGGAAACGAACCTGATAGAAGGGATATCTTTTCGGCAAGAGTGAGAGATGCGAGCGTTGACTCAACGTCGATGGTTGGTCTTTGGTGGATATGCATATCGGGAGTTGTTAGACTTTGAAGATTCATGGAGACTCCAGCTAAAACAAATTGGTCAACAAATCTAGGCTATAAAGGAAGTGAGCAATGGACACTAGTTTACCCTGGAATTCCCCCTGGACCAAATTTGGCACGATGAGGCGAATGAACTGGTGGGTCCTCTCTCTCGGATGTCGGGCGGAGTTGATGTGCGGATGGTGTCGCGTGAGATCTCTCAACAAGCACAAGCAGGTGGGTCGAAGAAGAGGAGACTTGGTTAAGGGTATCATAAAGATTAGAATAGTTTAACCTAAACTTAGTGCCTAAGTACATGTGAGTCATTTTGTCAACAGAGTTCTGTTTCCTGTCGGACCCCTGACAAGGTCTCCGTCACCCTCTGGTTCTCCACCATGGTTCAGCTGAGTAGTCGTAAAAGTCGAAGCTCTCGAAACAAGTCATCATGTCTACCAAGTAGTGCCATTGAACGGGACGAAAGAAGGTCTCTGCTTTGGGAAGTTCTTGACTATAGACACCTCGTGTATTCCATCCGGCGCAGCTGGTATTTCGTGTCCAGGCGTCATCAAATTGAGAGACCACATAACCAGAAGAATGCAAACAATACGAATCTGAGGTGTCGTAATGTTTGAGTATCCTGGTATTCTGCCCAGCCACCTAGTCTTTTCGCTCGATGCACTTTCTTGGAGGATCATCTTGACAATATGAGCTGTTGAGTCAGCTACTGCGTGACAGATCCATAGGAAGATCGGCACAATGACAATCAGAGTCCGCCATCGATCGCCCAAAAGTGTACCGTCACCGAAAAGACCGTCCACGATGAGGATTCCATTGTTGTCGGCTGAAAGAAGGATGTGAGTTTGGAGAATGTATGTTTCGAGATAGCAGCGGCCCAGCCAAGCCATGGCTTTGGAATGATGGTTTCGCGACCATGTTGAGACGTTGCGCAGAGCAAGGAATGCCAGGATCGGAATGGCAGAGAGGTAGGGATGCCATTTCTCATAAGCATCGTTACCAAGAGTTGTAGCGACAGACAGATAATGGAAGATGGCGAGTAGACCCCCCGAAGCAAGAATCATGCGAAGACCCCGATGAATGGAGACTTTGGCATTCTTCATCTCGCGGTGTGCAATAGCAGCCAGCATGCCGATGTACACAATGAACGCGTTCATTGCGAGATGGTGTTGCCACTCCCTGTCGTTCCACTGTATCTTGAAGATCGTTTTCAGTAGGTGTAAGGTCCAGCGTGTGAATGGCGTTGAGAGTAGTATGGTTGACACGAGCATACAGGACATACAAATCTTGACTAACAAGAACTGTCCATCATCGTTGCGCTTCCCATTGATTGACATGGTCGCATACACAACAAGAAACCAGAAGGATAGAAGTGGCGAGATATAATAAAACATATAATCGGTATCCATGAAGTAGGCCAGGAAGCATGGCAGGATATTCAATCGGAGAAGGGTTGCCGCGACATGGTTGAAAGAGAAGTCGTCCTTGCTCATGTGGTAGAGGGTATGTCCGTAGCCTACTTGGAAGAGATAGCCACAAACGCAGAGATAGAACAAGGTGTCGATTGAACTGTCCTTGGCTCCAGTCCAGTGGTATGTCAAGATAAGGCATTGCATCCACCCCTTCCACTCATCCATCTGATCTCGCGACAGGAAGGATTGGTTTGTTGAGTCCTGAAAAGAATCCGATTGTGTCAGAAAAGGCTGGTCTGCTGAATCTCGAACAGAATCTGATCGCGACCGCAAAGGCAAGTCTTTGTCAAAGTGTTTCGAGCTTGAGTCCTCAACGGAATCGGATCGTCTGATCGTAAAGATGAAAACTGCGATCCAGGTGAGAGAAAGTGTGACAAAGTCCTTCATCTGCCAGAGCTTACTTCCCTTGGCCATCATCTGCGTTCGGTCGGCGTAGTAGCACATAAGCAACGCCAACACAAAGCAACCAGCTCTCATGTTGAACATTCTCCAGCGAGGCTCATCACGCGGGCGCGCGGCAACGAGATTCAAACCCTCACACAATATGCAGACCATCAAGTACATGATACCCAAGTAGACGACCGCAAGCTGCGTAAATGGTTTGATGCCGTAGTCGGTACAGCAAGTGCGCGAGTAGGGATAAGACTTCATTCTGTCGAGCTTGGCGTTGCATCGCATGTTGAAGAGGATGTCGGCTCGTAACTGGGCGACGTGGAACTTGACGTGGAAGCCAGTTTTGAGAGGGTCTTTCCATATTCTGTCCTGGCCAACAACAAGTCCTGGGATCGACCACATGAGAGGGATGCTCATTTTGTCCTCGTTATCGTGAAGCCACTGCTGTATCTCAATAACTTCATCGGCTCTTCGACTTCGGTCCTTCTTCCTAACAGGTTCATCGCCCAAGTACCGAGGTCCCGCGGGTGGAGCGTAGAGGATCTGGTTCCCAAAACCGTCGTAGGGATCCATGGGGGCCGTAAAGGGGTCGTGTTCTGGAGTATTGTCGCCGATCAAGTTGTTCAGGCTCATCACATGGTTCTTGTAAAGTTCGAAACGATCTTCCCAAGGATCTGTCGCATTCTCTCCAAGATTCGTTATGACATCCGGATGGCTGAACCACGCCCCCGCCGAGATATAGATCAATGCAGGACCTTTCTGCTTTCTAATGGCGGGGACATTTGTCTTTTCGTCTGTGTACATGGCGATATTCTGCACGAATTGTTCTTTACCGTGGATATCTAGCCACACATTGGTTATGCGCTCAATCTTTTGGCCGCGGTAGGTTATGTTGAAAGGCTTCATTTGGGGTAAACTCTTTTCCAAGTGGTCCTTGTCGAACTGCTTTCTGTCAAGCTGCGCAATGTCAGTTCTAATCCAGGATATCCTCCACGTCTACTTACCATAGCGGCCATCGCACGGCTAACGTGTCGTGAGGTCGAGTCTCCCGAGACAACTATGCTCCTTCCTTCCATACATCTTCGAATGTCTTCCGATTCATATCGACTGAGCATGCACCCGTCGGGTTGCCATTGATGGAAAGGGTCTCGATTCCCTTGCTCGTCCTGCACTGGATCTATCCAACGGCCGGTATTCTGGAGGGCCCGACATCGGTACGGATCATTCCCGGGAAAGAGAGTTTTGAAAGTGACGGCCACCAAGAAGAGCGTTGCAAAAGAGGTGGCGAAGATCCTCGCCCAGGGCTGATGCATGCTGGCAGTCGTGCAAGAACAAGCTGATGCTCGGCCCAAGGTGGGAGAAAGACGAAATAAATAATTTGAACGAAGGCTTGCTTGTTGCGTCGAGACCACGAAAGGCCTCTCAATAGGGGCGCACTTAAAGAGTGAGACATTTTGGAAAGATAGCCTCCAGTAGCATCGGCATCTTTGGTTCCCAATTCGCTCGTGTTTACAGTCCAACCCCTAAAAGTTTGGAGCTGCAATAAATGCACCCCTGCTAGTAAATCGAACTATTGACAAACTTTCAGGGGATCTGTAGTGGCTCACGTTTTAGCGCATGCCCTAAACTCGGCGTGCCAGAATACCCGGGGTGGCTCACGGGGTGGCTCACGTTTGGCGGGGGGGCTCACGTTTAGCGCGTACCCTATACGTGGCGTGCCGAGTGCCCCGGCGTCGTTAACCTCGATTTGACTGCATTTCGGGCAAGTTTTGATACAAGTAAAACAGAATCTGGTTCTCGGAATCAAGTTGCGTTGGCACGAAAATGTTCAAAGTGCGATTATTTGGACATGAAAGGCAAGCAGAGTGGACATGCAGAAGCTCAAGGCCACGAACACGGGAAGGAAGAATCAAAGAAGTGAATACGGAAACGAATGAAAGATAGAACAAGCACGGAAGTTCAGTAGGTATCAGAGAGAACAAGCGCAATTTGATTCAGCCCTTCAATTTATTAACGTGAGCTACTACCAATATTCAATTTACGTTCATCCAGCTGCCCGAATTGATTGGGATAACTTCGGGCGTTGTTGGATGGGGTCGTTTCAAGTAGCCCACGTTGCACGTGGCTGGTAAGCCTTCGAACGCTGAACCGTCTTTTGAACGTTTTTGCATCTAAGTGATACTCTTCTTCGGCGTATCAGCGATGCTAGATGCAAATTTGTAAGTGTCTGTGGCTCGGTAACGCACCTTGATGTAGCTCGATGATTGTCGCGGGCCATGTTCATGATGAGAATGGCGTAATTTAGTGGTTGTGGCGATCCGGGGCGCTGCGAGGTCCCCACGTGGCAGCCTGGTCCCTGAATGTCCAGCACACTTGGGTGCCTTAACAGTTCCTGTGGGCACTGTAACGGAGCAGCGCCAGCCCCAATTCTGGTCCCACCTTTAACGTTATTGTTCGGAGACCGAAGACGATTCACTCCAATTATCGATGTAAGCAGCATCGTCAAATTATCCATATCACTGTGGTGGAAGGGTGAATGATTATACTCAGGCCATTATTTTATGAGAAGCATAAGATGAATCATTGTAATATGTGGTAGGTCAATTGACGTCCATTCGTTTACACTCCCACACGGCGGTTGAGCAAAGGCGGTGGCAGAATGATCACTCTGTTGGTGTTTGATGCCATTAGTGATTGTCAGCTGGCTGCAATGTCAATCTTGAACACTCAAATTGTTCAGTATCTATGCCATCGAGAGTGTCAAGACCTCTATCAGAGCCATTGAACCATTTGAAGTTGGAATATTCGATCACATGATTGAATTGCAGGTAAAAAATAGTTCGCTGAACCAATTTGTGATTTTGCAACTGTCAGTGCAAATCTTCAAACTGCTGGCAAACATCGCACTGCCCACTAGAATTCAGTAATCCGATGCCTGAACGCCGAAAGCATGGAGAACAAAATGTTCATTCACCTTATCACTACTGTGTTCTAACAATTTCTGTTGCCTACCTGCCACACACGCCATCTACAGCGACGCCAGACTTTGGAACGAGCTTCTTGTGATACCCTTAGCTATGGAAGTCTTACTTTTTCTTTAACCTACCTATCTGGCTATGGAGTCTAGTTTAGTTGATGCGAAAATGTGCAAACTGCAATAATTCAGTGAACATGGAAGGCAAACACAGAGTGGAAGCAAACAGTTGATAGACGTGTGAAGAAACAGTTTGGAAAGATGAGCGCCGAGATACTCAATCAATAGAACACCTCAAAAGTTCGGGAAGCTTCGATCAAGACTACCTACTACTTAGGGACCTAGGTAGCTCATTGAATAGGTAGGTACCGCTTGTTTGATGAAAGCGGATGAGTCTCTTGCCATTAGCCAAGGTGAAATTTAAACAAAATAAATTAGTCATCTTACGCAAACTTAGGCCAGCAATTAGGCTACTTTTATTTAAGTAGTCTAAGCCTTAGGAGATGATTCTTCTGTTACCCACCTGGTATCATCTCAGGCATTTCATTTCTCCCTCAGGCAACGGATAAACCAACTACCCGACTGCATTCAGTAGATATCCAGGCATCAGGCATCCATCTTCAACCATTTTTCTCTTTCTTTCATCTTTCATCTTTCATCGCTATCTACGTCGCCCAAGACCCGGTGAGACCCATCACTCTCTCATCCAATACGTAACTAACTCCTCCTAGTACATCAAGATGAACGAAGAAGCTATTCGTCAAATGGAGGCGAGCCTTGCTGCCTTGGAGAAGAATATTGCTGCCATGGAAAAGAACATTGCAGATGCGCAACGCGAAGCAGCCGCGATGCGACAAATTCTCAACAACACCACAGGTTCTCGTACAGCGATGGACAAGGCGCTCGATGACATGCTGGCTCAAGTTGAGAAGGGCCGCCAGGCACGGGACGGGACTTCCCACCTAGGCGACCGTTAAGCCGCACTCCGCCATCTTCCTGGAACGCATAGCTGGGTCATCTTCAAACGGTATCATTGTCGTTCACCGGGTTACAGGCCCTTCTAGTTTCGTTGGCCGAAACCTTAGAAGGCAGTATGCAGGATAGGCGACATAAAACACAATACAATGTTGTACTCTACTCCGGCAGTTTTCGATCTCGATCATGTGATTATTTGTAATTGCAAGAAATATTACGCCTTCGATAATGTGATTTCTAGTTATGAAAAGATCCAGCCGTCAATGTTGTTTTGTGTAGCTGCTCTTCGGAAAAGGGCTTTGGTCACTCCAGAAGCATGATATCAATGTCCAGCTCCCTTCTTTCAACATTCTCACCTGCCTCGAACATGTCTCTGAGGATGACAGGGAGAGAGTTGAACAGTACTTCAGCAAACTACACCTTGGTATAGGGCTGGTGTCTGGTCCTCCTGGAACCGGAAAGTCCTACCTTGCCGCGATTCTAGTCGTACTCATGTGCTTCAACGATTCGATCCAGTAAGTATATGTGGCCGCAACATCCAACGGCGCGACCGACAAACATTCTCGACCGCATAGACAACATGGCTCAGGACGTTACTCAGAAACTACAAGGCGATATCAAGCAACTCATGGTACTAAGAGGATACAGTCTCAGCATCGAAGGCGACAACTGCACCCAGGCTCTGCTCAGAAGGCATTTTAAGGCGGATACGATCTGGGACACATCTCCCTGGCGACACAGACTCTCCCTGTGCTGGTGGACATTGCGCGCGATGGGGGCCAAGGGAGTACCGCCACTGACTTTGGACGACAATGCCGAACTATGGGAGCTTCACCAGAGTTTGAACAACCTCATCATCTCACCTCGAAGCGACTCCGACCTGTTCAAGTTCCGACAACTTATGGAACTTGCTCTAGGCATCGAGCCCTCTCAATCCTACACACGACTATTGACCGAGCATGCGCATCGAAGGGTTCTGAGCAAGTTGATGGGGCTTGTGGTTGATTGTGCCAATGTTGTTGCGACCACCCGAGCACGTCGGATTTCTGGCTCTACAAACACTTCAACGACACCAAGGTTCGAGGCGTTTTGTTTGATGAAGCAGCTACGTTGTTCTGCTCGGATACCCTACTGGTTTACGGCCATACTCCTCGGCCGCCGATGATTGCGATCGGGGTCCCAAACAGCTTGCTCCCAATCCTGGAACCGCCTTTGAGCCGCGCCAGGCACGGTAGACACGGCGGTCGCGTGATTACCAGTCGAGATCTCATTCCCACCAATCGTTTCGCTCAACTTGCACAAATCTCATGGCTCTCGTGGTTCATTCATCTCGGATGGCCGGTGTTCCATCTGTACACTCAACATCGCATGGCAGAAGGACCGTTCGACCTTTCCCCTAACACTGTCTATCAAAGCCTCAAGCCTCAATTCAAGTACATTCACCTGTGCAAGTCTATCAACTTCAGCCTTGGTCTGGAAATTGAAGATTATCTGAAGACCGACTATCGCATCCCTTCCGGCGACACATTACAACCAGTGTTCTTCCATTGTCAAAACCATCGATACCATGAATGGAAAAACAGTCTTTTCAGCCTCAATCCACGCCAAGCTGATGTGATCGCGCGGTTTCTTGTGAAGATGATCGTCACATTGGACCTGCCCCTCCAAAGACATTGTCGTTTTGACCCCATACCGAGCGGACAGGGGCAATTGGAAGAAGGCTACGAAAGGAAAATGTCCTCAACGACATCAAATTCTCTACTTTCAACAGATTCCAGGGTCAGGAAGTCCAGATTGTGGTTCCGGCCATGTGTGTCGACGCGGAGACTGGGCCTTTGTTCGTCGCAGACGAGCGCGGTCTCAACTTCGCATTGTAGTATTCCTGGTCTGTAATAATCCCCTTCAATGAGAATAGTCCTGTGCTCCATTTCTCAACAAATCAATCGCCTCCGCCCCCTCCACATACCCCCCATTGCGTAGTACAACCCCCCCAGTAGATGTTTGACCAACAAACCTGCGTCCCCTTTATTCTGTTAGTATATGCATACAAGTGGAGAGACATGACTTACGCTTCGTTGGACCCATTCCAACGCTGAGCTTCGAGGGTACTTTTGAGATAAGACAGGCCACGGTGGAGGAGGTTCATGTCTATGTTGGCCAGGACCTCAGCCAACATCAAGCCAGGCTCGTTTGCTGGCAGGTCGTTACCAGACTCCTCGACATCGTTGCCAGACTCTTCGACATCCCCGAGACGCTGTCGGATGGCGGCTGCTTCGCGCTTTGCCAAAGAGACAACCTCGGCCAACTTCGAGGCAAAAGGGACGATCCCAATGTCACAAAGTTCCTTCAACAATGCAGTTGGGCGGTCTCGTGCCCAAACGACAACCTCCTCCAAGGCCAAAAGATCCATCTCCGTTTCACTAATTTCCTCCTCGACATCGCCATGCTCTGTATCGTTTCGCTCAGGGCTGTGAGAGCGCTCGCCTGGGATGTTCATATCTCCTTCAGGAGGCATTCTCGACGGATGTCTTGTTTTGTGAAAATTAAAGAAAAAATAAATGAATCAATAAGGCGTGGACAGTAGTATTCCGAATTTTGAGTTTGGTTGCTCGAAATCCAGTGTTTGTGTTTGTACAGAAATTGCCGAGGAATCTGAGAGCGAAATTGGAGAGAGCAGTGGTGGCGGAGCAAGCCTAGAAAGTGCAAACCGAAATTTCACCTCGTCGTCAACAACTTCAATTTTTACCGATTCCAAAAATCTTCAAACATCGAGGTCTGAATCGCGTCAAACATTTGCTTCATCTACTAATGTTTCTTCGCAAGGCGATCGCATGATTTGTTTCCAGCGCCAAGACATCATTGTCACCTCCAAACATAATCGCCCAAGCATCCAAACGAGCCCGCTACCAAGCTTGACCACTTCCACGTCAACTATTCACACTCAGCCCGAGTTTGAGTCCCCAACTCTACGTAGACTCTACTGGTGAGAGCAGCAAGCAAGTCCATCGTCAAATAAGACCTTTTGGCAAATTGCGACCGTCGGAGTCAGCATACTGGCTTGGTTAGAGCCGGAGAGCACACACGCAAGCACACCCTCGAACCTTTGATGCTTCAGGATTGCTAAATGAGCTGGATTGAAGCAGCGCCTACTGAGACAACATGCCTGGGTGCGACGGATACCGAGGAGAATGCAGGGTCTTGATCTCGCAAGATCTGGTATGGCTCTTCCTTCGCCGCGCATTTGACCTGTCACTGAGACTCTATAGGCCACACCAGCGTGCTCAGCTTTCGACCCGTGAGTGACCCGGTATGACTCTTATTGAGAATTGAGGCTAATCCATTGCGACGCTCAGAGGGACAGGTGCCGATTGAGACGACTCACCCCCGATGCGACCGCTGCCGACGGGATTGCTGAACGCTCAGCTTGCAAGCGATTTGGTAGAACTCTTGTCGAGTCATGAGCCCGTTACACCTTGGCCCCTTGCAGAAACAACTATACCGACAAGGATGAAGGAGGTTTGGCCGACCAGTCATTCAATATGGCTCCTGTCCCGCGGTGCATTCGACTTGCTCTGAAGCCAACCTGCGATCAAACTGAGACCCAGACTCGACTCACTCCAGCGATCTGGTATGGTTCTCGACGTGTAGCTGTACGTGAGAGCTAGTAGGGAGATGGTCTCACTGTATTCTGGCCTGGCCAACTCCAGCGCTTGGGATCAACCGCATCAGACATATGGTGAGTATTGATGGCGATTGAACGTTGGTCGTCAGCCTCCTGCGCTTCAGTTCAGCTGCTCCGCCGACTTTCCAATAGGGTTGACGCTTCATAAACCATTAGCTGACATAACGTTACCGCGAGAAACCGTCGAACCTTGTTCGATCTTGGACTTTTCATAGTTGTCAAGTGGCGTTGTGGTGGAAGGGACCTGGTCAAGTGAGACGTTGACGTTGAAAGCAAGATTCGGGAGCCAGGGCTGTTGTTCTCGTGGACAAGACTTCACAAGCTGTTCGTTTCGGACGGTTGACTAAAGGCGGTACCACTTAACGCTGGCAATGCCTCGGGCGCGGGACTTTTTGAAGCTACAGGGATCATTGACGGGATATTCGTTGCGCCTGTATGACAGTTGGCGATAATTGAGTAACAGTAGTCCAATGACTATCGCTACAGTTCATATTGGATCAATTAATATAGGTCGCAAAATGACACTTTAGAATGCAGAATCCAATTTAGTATTCTCAGTATTAACTCCTACTGTTGTGGACAGCCCCAAGCCCCCTCGATGATCACAACAACCGTCCAACCAACAATCCTTTCGTGACTTCATCTCGCTGTGGGAATGCGTTTCTGTCGGATGGATGGAGAACTTGGTCCGTTAGTATAAGCCTACGACTGGACAGGCATGACTTACAAAATATGGATGGCCAGTGTCCTAAAGATACACAAGATCCACCACACCATCCAACCCAAGATCCACCTCTATGGGACCCTCGCGAAAAGGAAAGCCAGGCCAGCGAGTGCTTGGGACTTGACGGCTACCATTGTTGACATCGTTCGTGGCAGGGCCACTGTCGGTGGTAGTGGTGGTGGTGGTATTGGTATTGGTAGTAGTTGTAGTGCTGCCAGTAGTGGTGTTGGTGGTGATAGTAGTGGTAGTGATGGTGGTGGTGGTGATGGTGTTGTTCACCGCATTCTCGCCTTGTGAGGCCATCGCAATCTTCGATGTCGTTGTAGATATTCTGATTTGTTTGCGAATAAAAAGATAAGAGGGAGCGTGTTCGGCAGTGTTTGGTTGAAAGAGAGAATATGTGTGCGTCGTTGAAGTTGTTGAGATCACTGCGCGAAGGGAGGTGGAGTATTGTCTAGCTCCACTGTGACATTTTTATTATCGAGGTTTTATTACTGATGTTTCTTTTACAGTCTTTCATGACAGGATATTTTTATTACAGAGTTTGCTTTCCATCGACGAATGACCTTCTGAAGGTTGTTCACAGTGGCTGCGATGGAGGTTATCGACAGTAGTAATGTTAGTGTCTTGGAAATTCGGCTCTCACCTTTCAACATCAATTCTTCAACCTATGCCATTCCGCCACCATGATGGTTCACATGTCTGTCAATGTTGGCATTAGACAGATAAGAGTTGAAGCACCGTGATACAGTATAGCTTGCAACGCCTATATCATCCAATGTGAAGCAAAGACGTGCTCGTCGAGCATGCATTGCATTCCTCACAGAGCAAAACTGCCAGTACTATATCCATGATACTTCCAGGTTGTGTTAAATGAACATCAAGTCAAGTCGAACCCGTGTCCCGTGGTCTTCAGTGTGTCATAAATCGTCTCCCCTGGTTCTGAGACGATACAACATTGTATTGTTCCAGTTTGTTCATATCAACAATGTCAAGACTTACACCCAAGTCTCAGACATAAAGGAACAGGGCATGTTTGCTTACTTGACGCGAGGATAATGGTGATTTCCTTCGCCAACTTTGCGAGTGCACAGCTATCAGTGCAAAGGGCCGGCAGCCAGTCGTTAGCCCACCTTCCGCAAATGCCGACCTTAGTCACAGGTAATCACAAATTCCTTCCAAAGATTTCCACAACAATCTCATTTCACACTTTTTCCTGCTGAAGCGCTTGCCAAACAACAACACCAAGTTCCTACACTCTACACAAACATTAACGATCGCGATGGCCTCACAAAGCGAGAACTCGGCAAACGCCATCCTGGATCCGGTGCCACAAACCGATTCCCCTCGTCGAGCTCCAGCTCCAGCTCCTGGTGCTGCTCCTGTTTCGCCTTCAACTGCTCTTCCTGCCGCCCCCCAAGACCACGCCACGGTCATGTCTGACTACTGAGCGAGGGAACGCGCCAGAATTGAGGCTGCCGGAGGGAGGGAACGCGCCCTCGCTGCAAAGAGGCATTGGGAGAGGACTGTCCTGTACAGTGAATCGACGGATCGGAACCCTCCAGAGGCCAGGATGAGCCTCGACATGCCCGGACCAGTTCAGGCTCCGGCTCCGGCTCCTGCCTTGGACAGCCACGGCACCTATCGCTCAGTCTCGATCTTTGTCCCTGAACTGGGCCCCGAAGCACAGAACGCCTTCAGCAGTGTCGCTTTTCCTCCTGGTACTTCAGCTGCCGACTTTGTCCCTGTCTTTATCCCTCGATCGGCGTTCGGAACACTGAACTACTCTGGCGGCACTCCTCCTCCTCCTGTTCCAGTTCCAGTTCCAGCTCCAGCTCCCACTCCTTCTGCCGCTGCTCGCCCTGGCGTCCGAACCGCCGGCCTATCTGGTCCTGGCTCTGTCGGCCGCAATCGTGGCCTTGGCAATTTTCGCGGTCGTGGCTATATTGGCAGTCGTGGAGACAGAGGGGGAGGCTTTCGGGGAGGAGTCAATAGGAACCAGAGAACTGACAATTCCGCCAACGCCCCCCGAATCTCAGCCGCCGGATCTATCGATCGTGATACCGGTAGAGGACCCTCGGCCTTGACCTGCGCGAGTCGCAACCCGGAAGACAATGCAGCAGCCGCGCACCAGGTCATGCGCAACACTGGGGCGAGGCGATACACATCGGTCACTCGAGGTGTCCCAGAGGGGGTCCGCGCACTTGCCCAAAGAAGGCAATGGCTCAGAAGCGTCATGTTCAGTGACTCAGATGAGCCTAATCGTCGAGCAGTCGACGATCTCATGAACCTCGACACTCATGAATCCCGGGCTACCGACGCGAGGGATCCCTGTGTCGCAAATGTCGATGTCCCTCAAGAGCGGGCTACCGCTGATGAGGCGAAAGAGGATAGCGCCTAATCTTGCAGAATCACTCGGCGACACAAAGCATCACCCCCGGTCATTATCGGATCACAGACGTCTTTGCCTACCCGCGGCGACTGTACCGCCTACCAAGGAGACGGAATCCTTGTGGTGACAACCACAAACGCCTACGCAGTGAGCAATACTCAGCTTTGCCTGACAGAATTTGCGCTGACTGATCAGCATCGCTGATATCCTTTTCACAAACTATATCCACATGCTCTCGTTGGGAATGTCGAAATCCACAACAACGCTTTTCTTCAGCTTTCCATCGACTACAAGAACAAACGAACCCTCCAGAAGGATTCTACGTACGTCTCTACCCTTGAGGAGGCTATTGTAAGTCAAGCGTCTTCACTACTATACAGATACTAACGCTTCCAAGTCAGCCCCGGGTTTCTGTCAATCCTCTTGCAGCTGTAGCTCCGGTTATGTCTCAGGTCACAGCTCAGCCTCAAGCGCCTGTCAATCCTCCCGCAGCTTCAGCTCCAGTTGCAGGTCCACTGTCAGTACATTCGTCCGTCCAAGCCTACTCCCGATATCAGGCGCCTTCATCTGAAGCATCATCGAGATTGAAGCCAATCGCGGCATGAAGACCGGTTTCGAAAACGAGAATTTCATGGAAGGATAAGGGCGATAGAAGATTGTTGCCTGCCGGGTCTGATCATTGAGGAAGCTCAAACTGCATCGAATGGGATAATACAGACGCGAAATACAACACTGATCCACACTCTGAATTGACGTTGCACTACTCAAATGAATTGTTTTGACATGATCATACCGAAAATCGCTGAGTTACTTTCAGACATGGACGGATAGCTAACATTCCTCGAGTTGAGGCAGAACACTCCGAAAACGATCGCTATCACTTGGCAAGGTCCCTCACCCAGGGCTTCAACAGCACGGTCGAGACAACAATTCGATACTACAGCGATCAGTCCACGAGCTCAACAGCCTCGACTCCCATACCCTTCTGTCATTCAACGTAGCCAAGACTCCGGGATCATGACACCACTTGGCAGCTATTGTGTGATGAGAACGGGCCAGATCTGACCAAGGCTCTATGCATTTGGGACCATGACACGAGAACCGGAACGACGCCCGGGTTGACGACACTGATAGGCGACATTATACCAGCTATGCCGCCATTCGTTTACAGTGAAAGTGCCTTTAGTGTCAGTCGAAGTAGGTGCCTGCGATATAGACTCGTGTGGCAGCTGGTAACCGGTGAGTTGTGGGAGGCTACTTATCAGAGGCCGAGTTTCTCCAGAACGTCCTTGACTTGCAATCCCTTCAGCATTATTCTCTGAACACCATGGTCCGCCGCGGAGCCTCCTCAATCACGATCGGATTCGACTTTCAGTCACAGCATCAAATCGCAGCGGCCGACATCAGACAATCTCATCGCAAAGGCGACATCACTTTCCAAACTCTCGCTACAATCGCCCATGGACTACAACAAGCCTGCAGGTATTGACTCATGGACTATTTGTTACTTGCGGAGCTGATAGTTACTTTAGGCAACGATAGCCTTGCGGAAGACCAAACCTCGAGAACAACAACCTAGTTCACTCCTACGCCGCCGACACAATGACTAAGAACGTCTCGACCTTTGTACTCGGATTTGAAGCTAAATGGTTTCTACAGCTCAACGCATATCGATAAAAGAGCCCTCGACTCGCAAGCGACCCGATACGACTCTCATCCAATGCTTAGATCATCCTATTTCATGGACCGAGAGACAAGTGCCGACCGAGACCACTTCCCTGCGATGCGACCGTACGAGAATGCTGCGGTCAACACGACACAACCCCTCCTTTTCCACGGATTTGACCCCCAGCCTCACTATCCAGACCTTATTGACGAGACTTCTGGGTTGTCGTTCTGGTACGATTCGTGCTACGACTTTGGGCATTCTATCGTGGCGCCTGGGAAACGAATGCCGATTGAGACGGCGCAATCATGAGATGATTGGCGTCGATGATATTGCCGAGCCTCCGACTTGCAAGCAACTTGGAATACCTCTTGTTGAGCCTTGGGACCGTCACATCCTTATGCTATTGATGACAACACCTTACTAATGAAGATGAAGGGTCTTTCATACGCCGGCGACCCGCTGCGCCTCTTGTCTCCCGGTGTACTCGATCTGCTCCAACATCACCCTGACCTGACCGACGAACTTGAGCCTTACATCGACTCAATCAGCGACCTAGTGTAACTCTCCTTCCATCGCGCATTCGACCTGCTATTGAGCCCATCCGACAATGACCCGTCTCTCGTGCCGTCCACACGAACCCATCAAGGGCTCTAGAGACGAGGCGCTATGGTCGCCAAATGATTCTCTACGCCAACTGGGCTTGATGTCGTAAGTCAGGTCAATTGTCCAGCTTTCCAGTTCACTGACTGCCCGGCGCAGCCATTAATGGATCGAAACACCATCTCAGCCCTATCATGTCGTTGACGATTCACAATACACCAATCTTTGGGGCCCAACTAAGCCTCAAAATGACGTACAAAGTTATCGGCAGTTGGACATCCGACGGCATTCAATTGCGCCGCTTGTTATCGGACGAATAAACATCCCGGTTCTTAGTCGGTAATTCATGTCGCATTCGGTACGAGCGCACAGGGGTGAGACGGGGCTGTGCGCCCGAAACGCAATTGAAGCATGTGATGAGACACAGACGAGTTTGAGAGATGAAACTGGCTTTTGGTATATAAAGAGTCGACAGGTATCAATTGAAACGAATCCTTCAACAGAAACAATCACAGCAATCATGGCACCTATTCCAAAGACTCAAGGGACTATTCACGATGACTCGACTTCAATTGGGAGACGTTTTGTTGACCTCGCCAAGGTTTGTGCAGGGTAACCAACCACTTGAGCATCAACTAACGAGTTAGTTCCTCTCATCATTGAAAGGCGATCTAGACCTCGCGAATGTTACTGCTCCCCCATTCTTCCTCGCTCCATCATCAGTCGTCGAAAATCCTGGAAGCTGGGCACAGCGACCATGCCTCTTTACAGCTCCAACGAAAGAACTCGACCCAGCAAAGCGGAGTCTCTCAGTCCTTCAATTGTTCCTCGCCGGTCTTCGGAGTCAACTCTATGTCGCTGGTGCACCCAACGTCAGCATCAAGAAGCCTCTCAACGCATTTCTTGGCGAGATATTCCTGGCGTCCTGGAGTGAGAATGACAGCGATACGAGATTAGTCGTCGAACAAGTCAGCCATCATCCACCGATTACCGCCATGCATATCGCCAGTGAGAAACATGGCATCCGAGCAGATGGGTATGGACGAGTCGAGATGACATTTAACGGGAACATCAACATCAAACAAATGGGCCATGCGGTGATACATCTTGACAGATTCGACGAGGATTATCTGGTCCCACTCACCGATGTCACTGTCCGTGGATTCATGTCCGCTTGTCTTTATCCCGAGATTACCGGCACATACACCATCAATTCGAGCTCTGGGTATGTTTCTGAGATTGACTTCTCGGGAGCCGGGTTCTTCCGAGGGAAGAAAAACTCTTTTGAGGCGAAAGTCTATCACCAAGACCAGCCCAAGAAGATCTGCTACAGGATTTCTGGAGTCTGGAGCGAGGGCTGGAAGATCACCGATGGGAACGGCAAGCTGGTGGGAACACACAGTGTCGAGCCAGAGACCTCGTCAATGGACATCAGATCGCTGGAGGAGCAGGACCCACGAGAGTCAAGACGAGCATGGGAAGATGTCATAGCGTCTCTTGAACAAGGAAACTATCGCGACGCATCGGCAGCTAAACACAAGGTCGAAGAAGCACAAAGACAAAAGAGAAAAGAGGAGAAGGCGTCAGGAAAGACATGGCAGCCCGCTTTGTTCAGGAATAGTCCTGGAAATGAGCATGAAGTATTCCATCGGTTGGCCAAGGGGACCAAGTGGCAACTTTATGACCAAGAGACTAGAGGAGTTTGGACAATTGACGAGGAGAGTTTGCGTCAGATGGAATAGACGCTTTACTGTTAGAAATAGATACCCAATATTGCATGTTCCTTCCACTTCGTGTCATGAATCAATTTGAAGTGCCCTTGGGATATTAGAAGGATTGACCCCAAAGGCTTAAGAGACAAAGTTGGTCATGTTGTGCCGGCTTAGACGAGCTTTTAGACTATTTTATTCTGGTAGTCTAAGACTTAGATCACATTTCTACTATTACTCACCCAAATGCATATGCCAACTAGGTCAGTGCCCATCGTGAGCCTAGCAGCAGTTGTTGACGAGGATGTCGCATCTGGAGTGCCATGGAGCAGGCAGTCGGCAGGAAGTGGGGCTCTTGCCAGCTGTAGCAACGACCTGCCCGTTACTGGCCGATGCGAACAAGCTTCAACCATCTTCAACTATGCTCAATCATTTTACATCATTCTTTACTCCTAGTCCGAGGTTATACCTTAAACTATGGAGAACAACAATAACCATGCCGCCTCAGCGTACCCAAGGACACCGTCTGAGTTCTGGCGACCCATAAAAGATCGAGCAGCCGCGCTGATGAAGAAGATTCCCGCGATGCGACAAATGTCAAGGAGAATGCAGGGACTTTGAATCAAGATCTGGTATGACCCTTCCCTCGCGGCGAATCTGACCTTTAACTGATAGTATCTAGGCCCCGAGGCGTACTGAGTGTGCGAGTCGCAAACGACCCGGCACGGTTCCTGGCGACAATTCAAGCATTCGACTTCAGCGTTGTGAGGGGGACAGTTACGATTGAGACGTCCTATCAACAGTGCGACCAAGACAACGAGAGCTTTGCGGCTAATACACCACAAATGTTCCTTCGTCACGCATTTGACCTGCAACTAAGACTAGCGATCATACTGCTGTGCTTGAAATTTACAGGCGATCTGGCACGACTCTTGCCGAGCAGGCCATCATCTCATGGCGGCCTGGGGATGATCGCAATCGAGGCACGTACCTAGCACGCGACTGAACTGACGGAAGCTGACACTTTGACTCGCCAGGAATCTGGCAAGGCTCCTGCCTCACCGCGTATTCGACCTACCATCCACATATCCTACAAACACCAATCTTTCATCACTATACATCGATGCCGCATTTCCGAGACTCTCCCACCAGAGTGAGCCACAAGAAGGACCCAGAGAATCTTGTCCATACAACAACATGTCAACAGTCAGCGCCGATGCCGTCGAGACGTTGTCGACTTGTTCGCTTTGAGTCACATGGATGTCAATTCACATGCTTAGGAAAACGTTCCTGCAGTCCTTCTGAGGTTGAAGTCCAATAGCACACCGCCGACACACAGCCACACGCCCTCCAGCTAAACATACCCTCCGAATAGCCCCCACGTCATCGGGCCCCTGTATTGAATCCCTCGAGCGGGATTGACCGCTAGGTACCACTACACAGACGGTCGTCTGTGAACCTCCGTCGACGACAGAAGAACCTCAAGCACATATCGTCTTACTGCGCGACCAATGATTAACCAGCTCCAATGCCGCCAGACACTCCCTTCACCTTGTTGTCAATGATCTGGCGAGACGGGATGACTAGCAACTATTTCGGCACCCCTATTCTCGAACGTTTATTAGAACGTGGACAGAGGAATCTCGCGCGCAACCTATGCCAGGAATGGATCTGGAAGAGGAGTCACGAGCAGAAGGCAGGAGGGATTGCTGGCCTGATTGAAGCTCATGAGGCTGATACCACGAACATCACCACCAATCCCTCGACAAACAGTTCGCAAAGCTGACACGGCGCTTGTTCACGTCGACTGCTCATGCCGCTTATTCGCAGCCTAACCTTTAGTCCCGTCAACATCAAACGAACTCGGTGACATCAGAGGGCGTTGGGTATCGCAACGGCGAGGCCACCTTCTAAAACCTCACGTCGAGTCGTCGGTGAACCATTACACCCCCACAGGCATTGATTCATTGACTATTGCTATTCGCAAAGATGGCAGCAGTTACAGACTCCGATAGCCTTGCAGGGAATCAATCACCGAGAACAGTAACTCTGGCCACTCCTACGCCGCCGCCGCATGTTTGCCCCCACGCCATCACGAAATCGGATGGAAGCCAAGAATTGAACTATCGAGCTCACTCAAGCCGAGCACTTTGAGATTAATGTTTCAGGTGTTGATATTGAGGTCTGTATGTGTCACCTGGTATTCAGACTCGCCACTGACGGCCGCCATCAGGAGTCACCCGATCAGAAAGCGACCGACCATAGCGTACCTCAACAGCAATTCCATCGCACTCTTCGATTCAACGCCAGTCCGAGTCAAGGACGTTCAACGATCAAGGCCCAGTGCAGTAGCGCGCGCTATCCCCCACCGGCATTAGGCCATTGGACTGCTCCTCAACGCCGTCGAGAACCGACATTCACACAAGCTCTGCAACGTTTTCAGACCACTCACCATCGCCCTGGGCTCGGTAGTTGGCCTCCGACTATGAATTCGGTACTCCGACGGGCCTTTGAGGCAGAAGGAAGAGCACGCGACACTTTGGCTTCTATGCACAGAGTCCTATAAAGACTATTCTCTTCACCAGGATGATCACTTGATCTCGAAACAAAGGTCAACGGAGGGCGCTGCCAACGTAGTATATCGCATTCTGTACCGAGCCGACTGAACATAAACGACCGCCTGCTATTCATTCCGCAGACCTCAATACCCGACACACGAGTGCTGTTCACGGTGAAAGGGGAGCATGGACGACAGAAACAAGAACGCTCGACCGGAGCTGAAAGGACATGGCGCATGCTATATCATTGCTAGCTTTCGGGTACCCGACATCCTCAACCAGGCCACTACCAACGGGCAACATAGACGTTATCAATAGATCAACTCAGCTTCTCCTCGACCCTTGTCTCGTGTCCAGGCCCAGTGGTTGACAATACACGTCGGTACCCCGAACACTTCCTGATATCACCCTTGGGAAGGTTACGACCAAGGCCGATCATTCAACACATTGCTGTATCGGCGATTGATGAGGGTCCGTGTGAGTCACTTCCCCATTCCCGGAAGGCGCATTGTATTGACGGTTCACTCGCAGTACGGAACACCCATAGACGATATCGGAATATGCTACAATCAAGCTCCTCCGCGGCGAAGCTACAATCTCAATCTCTACATCGGCCGAAGCTGTCCACGCATACGGCAGAGTCGATTGCTGATGTTTGGAGTCAATACCAATCAACGGGTAAATACTGCTCACGATTGCCTATATTCTGTTGAGAAGCACAGTAGCATGTCGGATTGTGGGTACGGCGGTTTGTCGACAAGCTTCGCATTTTCAATCAAGACGCAATCCTATAGTGACACGAGGTGAGTTGTGTTTTGGATGAATAGTCGGAAGCCTAGCTAACATTTGCTTGACAGCTATAGAAGCACCTCATCAAGTGCAAACAGGTCTCGCCGTCAATCCACTACAAAGCAATCCTAAGTGACAGCGCCTTTGACCAAGCTGTTTGGCCTGCGCTGTGGTCATTCAATTGTGTTGATCCGACCACCCCTTTGTCCAACCGGCTTGGCTGCAATACGTACAATCGACTTGCGGAGGGCGGAAAGGAAAACGCATAGGAGGTCGCAAAGGATGGTTGCTCGCATTTGTCGGATGTACTGCGATGTTTGGTGTCAGGCTTGGTAGGTGATTGGCGATTACACTTGCTTGTTGCCGATATCAAACATCAATCTTTACAGATTTGGCACAGTTGATGGCTGAGAACACTTTCCGGGTACATCAAAGGTGACGGTGACAATCCTCTATACAGGTTGGAAAAAGAGCATAAAGGAAGGCCTTGAACCGCCTCTATCTTCGACATCAACATCTATATATTATATACCTGCCTGGACGTGCCGTGGTATCTTTCAGCATCAACCTATATACAACGTACCTCTTCTCTCAACGCTAGACGAATCTTTCGAGAAAGTGACGCCGACGACGTCACGATTGTGCTCACGAACGCCAAAGGCTATGAGTTTCCAGTCTTTGTCCAGCGCGCCTCCGGGAATGCCTCTGACGAGGTTCAACAGCGTCCCAACTAGGATGTGGCCGTCAATCTCGCATGGTGGCAAGGCAGGTAATGTCAGTCAATTCTTCACCCAGGCACTGTACTAACACATCTAATTCAGTGCATCCATTCAAGCGAGCCTTTTCCCCAGACATCAAGAACGACGCTCCGTGGCTTTCTCCAGCATCAAGCTATATATAACGTGTCTCTTCTCTCAACACTAGACCCTTCGAAGTGATTTCCCCTGAGGGAGGCACGAACGGTTCGCTTGAGTACCCTGCTAGCTGTAAGCGAGCATATACGGAGCAGACCAAAGTTGACATTGAAGGGATCCTCAAGATGAAGGAGGACCTGAAGGTGTTCGAGAAGGTCATCACCGAGGCACAGCGCGAACCTGACCCATTCAAACGGTAACAGACCAGTCCATTTGCGCCTTCAAAACCTTCAGCAAGCTGACTCATGAAGAAAGTACAGGTCATTCCAAGCCCATCGCCACCAACCACTTTTCTAGGCTTGCCTAGATCTCATGGCTCTATCGGCTGATCCGTCGCGGCTGCCCTATACACTCAGAATGCGATACCACCTACTTCATCGCTGACAGCGCCGATCTCTGCTATATATCACTCAGAGCTCAACACACAGAAGAACTGGTCAACGGGAATTCAAGAGACGAGATAACTTGGTGACGCTATGCAAGCTTTGACCAGCACTTGGATTACTTGAAGAACGGGTCTTCCTACACCCACGTGGTCGCCTCGAGACTTGTGCGCTCGTCTCGAACCCTCTATGTGCGCTTCAGGACCAGGAAGCCACCATTGTGCCGCTCTCTTTATATACCTCGACTCCGATCCCATCATCCGCAGCGTCAAAGTCAATCTGGCACTACTTCCCACAGAATTCGCCTAGTCGGCATCGATGATCTTGACAGATACTGACGGGATAACATCAAGACTGGAGGTAGAGTCAAATGTCTCGTCTGCATTGTA